TAGGTTCAAAATGCAGCTGCGTTGTCACCCCTGAGGACTAAGGTGGAATGCCTCGATTCCAGTAAAACAGGTCTCCGGTTCTCTACACTCACTATACAAAACACAGCAGCATTACGCTGCTATTTTACGCTGGTATTCTGTGAGAGCGTGGTCCTTCCCCGGTCGAGCTGACCCATTCATGCTACAACCACAATAGCTGCAGCGTGGCTCTACCACGTAAAAAACGTTCGGATTACCTTTACCCAGGGTCTTCAATCCTTTAGACGAGACCACAGCCTACGTACCCAGACGTATGCCTATGTACAGTACCTAGTAAATTACGTCTATTTTCGTCTTCCATGTTTGGATTCTATTAAATGAATTACAAGTTAATCGTTTCGGTGTAGGCCACAGTGAAGGTTATTCAACAGGCTGGAGCGTAAGGCGTGAAGGACGAAACACACAGTCATCCATTATATGTTCTTTTTTTGTTTTCTTTTTTTTTAAACGTTACCTCCACACTAGGATTTTCTCCTGTATCGTGGGGGCAGTTTACAAACATAAATTTCACAAGGACAAACATCCAGACCCGGAACAATTACTTGTAGGCCATACAAATACTTGCTCCGTGCGGGATTCGAACCCGCGGCCCTTAGCGCTGTAACTCATTTATAAGCCACTGCGCCACGAAGCCATTCTGAGTGACAGTTGATGAATTTGTGTTCTGAGTGACAGTTGACTTAAAATGTGTGCCAAGTGGTAATTTTATACGTGGTAGAGCCAAGCTGTGGTTATATTAGTAGTATAGTTGTAGCATGAATTTGTCGGCTCGGCCGGGGAAGAACCACGCTCTCACAGAATACCAGCGTAAAATAGTAGTTTAATGCTGCTGTGTTTCGTATGGTTAGTGAAGGGTTTTTACTGGAAACGAGGCATTTCATCTTAGTCCTCAAGGCTGACAACGCATCTGCATTTTGATTCGTAATCGAGGATAGATGTAGATGTCTATTGGCCGCAGCAACCACTTACCATCAGTTGAACTGTGTGCTCGTTAGCCACTCTTATTCTTTAAAAATAAAGTTGTATATCCGCAAAGTAAAAAGAATGTGGTAAATTTATAACAGCGGTAAATACGAGTGACTCGTTTATTTCTTACGTGTTTCAAAACGAAATTACTCTGACCGACTGTTATAATATTGATACGCTGACCTAGATACCCGGATATTGGTAATTACCTACACCTGTATCCTTGTCTATACATCGCTATTTGTTTTATGAATTAATTCAATGTCCTATTGGGGCTAATTGCAAGCTAGTGATAGTGAATTTTTTTATTTACAACCTAGGGATCCACCCTGGCTTCGCATCAGGATCAATTGTGAGTTTAAACCATCCAGGGAATCACTCAAGCATAAATATTTTGGATTTCTAGTGTAAATAGGTGACATATGAAGATTTTTGTTTGATTGCATCTGCCACATAGTAGTTTTTACATAAGTTACACCCTTTATTGGTTTTATTTTTATAGTGTAGTTCGTAAACTAATATTTGTTTTAAAAAATTCGTTCTTTTGCTGATATTAAGGTAGTAAAACAAGTATATTACGCATTATGTCAGTCAAATCTCACCTATTGTATAACCACATGGGGTGGAGCAACTAATACTATACTGCTACCACTGGAACGCGCTCAAAGAGCTGTATTAAAAATTGCAACATTCCGCCCCATTCTATTTCCATCTCATCTCTTAAACAAATCCTATAATGTCCTCTCAGTGCGCCAGTTATTCGTTATGAGTACGTTACTAAAACAGCACTTAAAATTGTCCTATAGAAGAGATGTCACTGATAAAAGACGCAAAGATAAAGTAATTGAAACTAACATTAAAATATAGCATTATTTCATGCATAGATTTTTTACATTCCTCGGCCCTTTTTTTGTATAATCAAGTTAATGCAATTTTGTGCATATATCCATTAAAAATGTCAGACTGTAAAAAAGGTAATTCGAACATGGTTACAAAATTTGTCATACGATGATACGGAGAAGTTGCTGATTGTTTTAAGTTAATTAATATCATAAGTAAATTAAGGATAATATATTTTTTCCCAAATAACCCTTATTAGTTAGTACGTTATTCATTTTATATAAGAAACAGAAAATATTTGTTAATCTATCTTTTAGCACATACACCTGAGATACAGGTTTATCCTAGTTCAGGTGCCTGTTATTGTAGACTATTTTTAAATTAAGACTTATTGGAATAATTTGCACAGTCTATCAAAATAAAATAAATTATTAAAAAAAGTGTGTTTGAAAGCAATTATGCCTCTTTCTCAATTCAGCAGCTGGCATTTCTGAGGTCATAAAATGTTACATTGTGGTCTCAGGAGTGGGTTCTTGTAAAATGTTACTCAGTTTGAACTTGTTAATTGAATGAATTGTAGAACAATAATATTTTTTGTTGTTAATTATTAGGGAAAAGCATATATTGCAGATAAGTCTTAAAATATTATAAAACACTTGTACTGGCAATCTTCAAGAATATATATATACATATATATATATATATATATATATATATATATATATATATATATATATATATATATATATATATATATATATAAAGATGATAATTAATTATTAAACATTCAAAAATATCTCATTTCCATTGCAAAATCGGCAAAATCCTAGGTCAATGACGTCACGAGCGTAACAGCATGGCGGCTAGCGTTTTCGCGCGATAAAACGATTAATTGTTTTTTGATAATTGTTAAAAGTAATTATTATGGCTCTATTCAGTTTAATAAATGTATAAAAATTATAGTGGTACATCATTACTGGAATTAATTTAAAACATCATTTAAAACGGTGTAATACTCTATTGTTTTAAGTCGAATAATAAATCCTTAGCATTTTATTTCTCGACATAGATTATACACTATATAGAAAATAGGTGAGCTAATCTGACAAATTATTAGGTGAAGAAACGAGGGAAGTTTTTTCTGCACTGACTGTACTAAAAAATACACTAGACGTCGCTATCAACTTGTTTCAGTAATATTTCGTACATTTTAATTAAATTAAAAATAAATTATTTTAATTTAGAAACTAACAAATTTTTTACATTACATAATTTTCATTTTGCTTCTATTAAATAACCATCTTTTGAAATGCAACGTTTATTTCATTGGAGTTATTTTGTATGTTTACCGCAGTATTTCAAAACTTTGATATTGTGATTTAGACCTCGATATAAATAATTAATATCAGCAGTAACGCCATCTTTTGAATGAAATGTCTAAATTAGTGGAGAAAATAGGGCTTTTACTGACTGTGAGATGGCGTTAGAATCAACGTAAAAAAGCAGGCTACTAAGGACTTTCATACCCCTGACCTCCAACATAGTCGCTCATTGCTCACACACCAGTATTTTAGCTGCAGCATGATTAATTGCGACTCTACCGGTGACCACGCTCCTGAGATTCGATAGAACTATTAAGTGATAGAACTCCTTAGTTGCCTAGCAGTGTGGCTGGGTATACTGCCTTCTTACCTTTATCTATCGCCAAAAGCAGTGCTTGCACAGTTGTATTCTGGTATAAATGATATTAATTAATATCTTTCAGACCGAATTTTGGTCCCGGCGGATAGTCTCAACGGAAACTAGCCGACGTCGCAAAACAGGATTATAGTGCCCAAGTGTATGCGCAAGCATATTGGTAATAAATATTATTATTATTATATTAATGAGTCTGATGTAATATTTAACATAATTCGTTTAAAAAAATTAAATGCTATTTTAATTTTTATACTTCAGTCGGCTATCCGCGAAAACCTTTATAATTAGTGAGTTTACCGCTTTAGAAAGAAAGTTACCAAACTTCCTTTCCGGCCATTAAAGCGTCTTTTAAAATCACTGAGAGTTGGCAACGTGCAAGTTTTAATGTCTTCCGAGAGAAATTCTCTTTTGTTGCGGTCACAGTTGGCTGGGCAAATAAAAACATCATCATTTGATGTATGAGTGCAGCTGTAAACGGAAATTTAAATAGTAAATACTTATATGTTCGTCTTTTCCATAGAAGATTCTACATTATTTAATATCATTGATCGAAGACGAAGGCTTCACCCTTACCCAGGACAAAAAGCGCAAGCGCGCTACTCCGATAAAGGCAGCAGAGACTAACTCGGCCCCGCCATCACCCACCACTACTTCAGCTAAAAAGCCAGACCCCGCAGCACGCGCTCAATCCCCCCCAAACCTGCGGCTAAGCCCGCGGAGTCAGGGTTCTCTGCTGAACGTAGAGAAAAGCCGCCAACATCTTTTGTCATTCACCAAGTGGAACAATCTGTCCAATTGGTTAAACTTCAAAAATATACTGCCCAAAGGTATAAAACACCGGTCAAGGCATCAGAATGTACGTCAACTCGACCGAGGAATTCCGCAACGTGACTAGTCAGGTGACTAGTTGGTGCACTCCCTATTTCCTTACTCTCGTGGTCCGATGGTACGGTAAACCGACACAACCGGAGAGAAATCAGGCGCAGGACCAGATTTACGTACTTTCCCAGGGCCGGTGGTGAGGCACTGCCAACTTCTTGACTTCGGGCAGCTACTGAGAATTTCTTAATGGAAAATCTTAATAACTGATATTTTTGGGATCGACCCGGGTTTTGAACCCGGAACGTCATGATCAGCAGATGCACTACTATAACCACTAGACCAACGAGGCATTCAAGGTTATATAAATAAAGGGCATAGAGAGCTAGCATAATTACAGGGTGTGAAGCATTTTATCACAGAGAGGACTGTACGACAACCGATGGGGGAAAAAGTTGCTCGAGTGGCAGCCTCGTACCGGCAGGAGTAAAGTAGGGCGATCCCGCATTAGATGGAGTGACGACCTGGTAAGACATGCAGGAAGTCGATGGATGCGGGTGGCTCTAATACCATCATTTTTTCAGGCGCTCTTTCCCCAGGAGGTTCTTAACGTTCACCTTGGTGTCGTGCTGGCTATCATGGCGATTTTCTTCTTCTTCATATCTTACATGGGTTTCTGTGGCGCTATCAACTGCTCAAAGTTTCTACTTTTTATGGTAAGTTTTTCTAAAATATCTATATAAGGATGACAAACGAGCACACAGTAACCTCGATTAAGAATCAAAATGCAGATGCGTTGTCACCCCTGAGGATTAAGATGGTATGCCACGTTCCAGTTCCAGTAAAAAGGGTCTCCGGTTCTCTACACTCACGCTAGTATATTGTGAGAGCGTGGTCCTTCCCGGTTGAGCCGACCCATTCGTGCTACAACCATAATATAGCTGTAGCGTGCCTCTACCATGAAAAATTAAATTTGTTTCAATTTTCACAAAGCAACTCGCTGATAGTGGACTACACAAGTCCTCGATATTTTTTAAATTTCACAAAAATATTTTTTATCGCCGAACACGAGATAAATTCCTAATTCAGAATTGAAATTTAAAATTTCTTGCTTCAGCTTGTGTTTGGGGTTCTATCTCGATGTGCTCACGTAAATTTTAAGATGAGCGTTTGCCCTACTAGTAATTTAGATTTTCCAAGAAATTATGGCTTTTTTTAAGAATACTTGGTAAAGATTTATGCATGAATAGAGCCTTGCTACAGCTATATAATTGTTTTAGTACAAATGTGTTAACTCGACCAGGAATTTACGGAATACCAACGTGAAACGACGGCTCCGTGGCGCAGTGGCTTAGCAATCAGTGGCTGCGCTGGGGGACGCGGGTTCGAATCCCGCACGGAACATTTGTATGGCCTACAAGTAATTGTTCCGGTCTGGATGCAATTCATGTTTGTAAACTGCCTCCGCGATACAGGAGAAAATCCTAGTGTGGGGGTAACGTTTTGTAAAAAAAAGGAAAGGAAATAGCAGCTTAATGCTGCTGTTCTTGCTTGTTGATTCTTAAACAGGCTTGGGTTTAGGTGTCTGTGTACAATATCCACTTGTCTTCAGGTGGACTATGTGCTCGATATTCGCCCCATATGCTATAAAAAAATTTCAAATGCCATAACATTACCAACATTACAATTCACTTCACCTAGTAATAATAAAATGTTTGGCTTAAACAACTTTACTGGATATCAAAAGTTCACTGCTGGATCTTCTCCATCCATTGCCTCATAGGGGGGATTTGCCCTTTGACTTGCCACAGCTGCCACGCTTCAAGCGGGTTAGCAGCCGCATTTTTTTTAAATTTTAGTAGTTACTAGGAAGGCGATGCTGCCCTGTTTTGTTCCCTCTGTCGCCTCTTACGACACCCACGGGATGTTAAGGTGTATTCGATATTCTTCTACCACCACTACAAGGTCGGTAGACCGTCGTTACGTAAAAAAATCTTATTGCTAAAATGAAACCCCTCAAAATTCTAATGTTTTTCTTTGCTCTATTCTCTCACAGTATTCAACCTTGGTGATTCTACTGCTTCTTCTTGAATGTGCTTTATTCTTCTATTACACTTCAAATTTAGTGGAGGTGAGTGTTCTAGTATAAAAGACTAAGTCTAAATAGTCCACTAAGACACCACAAACAAATTTTGATATGTTGTTGGTCGAATGAGGACGCTCAAGGTCGCTCAGCGAGCTATGGGCAGGGATATGCTCGGAGTTTCTCTGCGTGATAGACTTAAAAATGAGGATATCCGCAGTAGAACCAGAATGACCCACATAGCCCAACGGATTAGTAAGCTAAAGTAGCAATGGGCCGGCCATATAGTTTCAGTTTTAGAACCGACAACCGATGGGGAAAAAGGTTCTCGAGTGGCAGCTTCGTAGGTACCTGTAGGCGTAGTGTAGGGCGACTCCCCTACACTACGCCTACAGTACCTACTACTAGTGTGTCTCCTAGTGTAGTGGTGTTGGGAGTAGTGGTGCTGGGATCAGTGGTGACGGGATTAGTTCACGCAATTGAGGAAGGGCGGGAGGTGCTCTTCAAACTAGGTAAGACACATCGTTTTAATTTATTGTAGCGGCGCTGTCGACGCGCCACTAGCACACCGAAACACACCGAAGGCTAAATCGCGCTATTAACATTCCGAATCATAAACAGTATATATAGAACATCTCCGAACTATCACACGGAGTGTCGGCCGCTCCCCGGGCAGAACACCTTGCCCGGCGGGAGATCTCCCCTTTTCCTTCCACGGCCACAGTGGTGACCCCGACGTGATCTGAGCACGCAACCAAACAACCTTCGGAAACTTCAAGCTTCATCATCGTCATAGAATACCCCACCCATTCGCTCCCGAGCAGATATCGCCTGCAGTCTTCATATCCTGCAAGCCATCTAGCTTCACAAGGTTCATCGCAGCACTGGAATAATAATGCTTCCTGTTCCTTCAAGCTACTCTCTGCGCTATACAGTGTTCGGCACGGCTCTGAGCCTTACTGCTCGCCTCTGCTTTACGGCGCTCTCGCAGATTACTTGCCTTCTTCTTGACTCACCGCAGACTACAAGGCAATCCACTGGCACTTGCACATTCGTCGACAACGAGACTGCACTATCGACCTCCGGTCTGAGCAGGGGGATGATGTAGCGGCGCTGTCGACGCGCCACTAGCACACCGAAACACACCGAAGGCTAAATCGCGCTATTAACATTCCGAATCATAAACAGTATATATAGAACATCTCCGAACTATCACACGGAGTGTCGGCCGCTCCCCGGGCAGAACACCTTGCCCGGCGGGAGATCTCCCCTTTTCCTTCCTCATCGGCCACATTATTGAGCGGATGTAGGTGAAGTTATTCTTTCCAAATAATTAATTCCGCAAATTAACGTCTGATTCTATTAACTAACTTACATAGTAGTTTTTAATACGCCGAGATATTTAGAATTTCAAATATCCACACTCCACATTTCGAGGATTCAAGTGTCAGATTTTATTTTTAAAGCCCTATTTCATTATTTCTAATACAGCCTATAAAAGTCCACTGGTTAATATAGGCCTATTGTGCCATCGTTGCCACGCTTGGCAAGCGTGTTGACAGCCGCAATGTTTTATTATTTTTAATTTTTATCAGGATGCTGCTTCTCATCTTATGTTCTATTTTCCCTCTGTCGCCTATTACGATACACCCTGGGATGATATAAAGTAAAAATAAAGTAAAGACAGCCTATATCGTTCCACTGCCGGGCACAGGGGTATGGGATATTGGATATTGTTCCACCGCCACCACACGGCGTCTTCTACTCTTTTGCCGCAACATGGCAAAAAAGTAGAACTGACTCAGATGAAATTCTAGACAGGAAACTCGCACTCTTCTAGAAAATCTAATAACTGCTAATTATTTAGTTTACTAATATCATCATCATCATCATTACAGCCCTTCACAAGTCCACTGCTGAACATAGGCCTCCCCCAAGTAATGCCACAAAGCACGGTCCTGAGCCACCTGCATCCATCGACTTCCTGCGTGTCTTACCAGGTCGTCACTCCATCTAGTGGAGGGTCGCCCTACACTACGTCTACCGGTACGAGGCTGCCACTCGAGAACCTTTCTTCCCCATAGGTTATCGGTTCTTCGAGCTATATGGCCGGCCCATTGCCACTTCAGCTTACTAATCCGTTGGGCTATGTCGGTCACTCTGGTTTCACTGCGGATATCCTCATTTCTGAGTCTATCACGCAGTGAAACTCCGAGCATAGCCCTCTCCATAGCTCACTGAGCGACCTTGAGCGTCCTCATATGGCCAGCGGTGAAGGACCACGTCTCAGATCCGTAACACACAATGCAACACGCACTGGTTGTACACTTTAGTTTTCAGAGATTGAGGTATACCTGATGAGAAGATGTGTTGTAATTTCCCGAACGCTGCCCAGCCGAGTTGAATCCGTCGATTGACCTCTCGGTCTTACTAATACTAGCTTTTTTTAATTATTTTACAATTATTACAGAAGGGCCTTCAAGTGGAAGATGGTCAATTAACTCATGCACTGAGACTTTCTTTTCGATGTTGCGAATATAATTACACGTAAGTGTCATCGATCAATTATTTAATTTTAATTTAAGTTAGTGTTTAGTTAACTTAATCTTAGCCTTAATCAAAATGCACTTGTTAATTAAACTCTTTTTGGTCGTCTTCGAATAAAGGAAGAGCTTCTAACATTCTTTCGTTACACTTATATAGGAAACAATATCTTTGTTTATCGTGAAGTGATTTAAATAATTCTTATTTAGTGTCATAGTTTATACTTCAGAAATAATCCTGCATAAATTTAGACAGAAAATTCCTACACTTAAGATGGCAAAATCTACACAAAAAACAAATTTTGCTGTTATTTTGAAATTAGAAACAGACCCTCTGTTTCTATAATATCAAAATAAAAGCTTTTTATAACATATATATGAAAGTGTATAAGGTACTTATAAAAAGACAAATTTTAATTTTTTGTCTGTTTGTTCCGGCTAATCTCCGAAATGGCTGGACCGATTCTATCGGGAATGTCACTGCCAGGTAGCTGATCTTATAAGGAGTAACTTGGGCTACTTTTATTTTAGAAATAGAATTAGGGTTCCGCGCATAAAAACCCATAAAATCCATTCCTAAAAAATCCACGCTGACAAAGTCGCGGAGAACAGCTGGTAGGGAATAAAGTTTACATTTTTTTTATTGAATAAGGGTGACAAACGAGCACACAGTCCACTTGATGGTAAGTGGATGCTCCGTGCCCATGGACATCTACATTTAACCTCGATTGAGAATCAAAATGTAGATGCGTTGTCACTCCCTGAGGACTAAGATGGAATTCCGCGTTTCCAGCAAAATGATGCGTTGTCACCCCCTGAGGACCAAGATAGAATTCCGCGTTTCCAGCAAAATGGGTCTCCGGATCTCTACACTCAACACACGAAACACAGCAGCATTAAGCTGCTATTTTACGCTGATATTCTGTGAGAGCGAGGTCCGACCCGTTCGTGCTACAACCATAACGTAGCTGCAGTGCAGCTCTACCGCGCACAATAAAACATTAAATGTGACTCTAAGAGAAAGCAAATAACGAAAAATACTTGTAAAAAAGAACCTGTTAAAAAGAATCATAAAAGACGCTTAACGTTTGACAGAGATATCGCGTTACATACAAACTAATCACTTATCATCCGGTGAGCCGCGCGCTCGTTTGCCCTTATATAAAAAAAATAAATAAAAAATGTAAAGTCGGATTGTAATCCTTCTCATTTTTTGAAGTGGTATAAAATATTTTATTTAGTTGTAAGTTTTCTGTACGATGTCTTATTACAGACTTCAGATGCTACAGTGTAGAAATTATTTTTTTTTAATTCTTGGGAGTTCACTTTTGTTTTATTTATTTTATTAGTTTCAATTTTTCTACGTGATAGAGCCACGGTGCAACTATATTGTGGTTTGTAGCACGAATGGGTCGTCTCGACCAGGGTAGGATCACGCTCTCACAGAATACCAGCGTAAAATAGCAGCTTAAAGCCGCTGTGTTTCGTGTGGTGAGTGTAGAGAAACGTAAACCCGTTTCACTGGAATTGAGGCATTCCATTTTAGTCCTCAGGGGTGGGATGTAGATGTCTATGGGCCACAGTATCCACTTACCATCAGGTGGACTGTGTGCTCGTTTATCACCCTTATTCTATAAAAAAGTGTGTTGTGTAGTAGAAACGGCTAAAGAATTTAAAGAATGTAAAGCTCTGATCTAGCTTACGTTCAAGCCGAGAAGGTTTACAGTTATCTCAAGCAGACAAAGAGATGTGGAAGGGTGATCATTGGCAAACCTTCAGTGCGCGGTTTACACAATTTACATTTATAATTTTGCTTACGTGAAACTTCTTTATCGATGTAGTGGAGAAATCATCCCTTAGATAACTCGTTTACGTGCACTTTTAACTGACGAAGGTGAACATCCTTACGCAAGTAACGATGCAGATCGATGCAGAATGTCCCTTTTTACTTTAAGCTTGCGGCCCTGAGGCCGCGAGCCCTGAGACCGATGAAGTTGTAAAAGTCAAAAGGCTAACAGCACCAACATCGTGGAAAACCAATCGTGGAGAAATTTAGTGTGGCATTAGAAAATAAAGTCACGTTTTCTTGTATCGTTTCACCGCCCGGGGCTGCATGAGTGTTATTTGACCTACTTATGTAAAATATATAATAAATATTGGGTCCTTACATATGAAATTAGCGTTTTGTCGTACTGACCACTATGATCTGAAATATCTCCTCTTTGGTCAAGAATTCCAAATTAAAATATAAATTCATTTAACTGGTACGTTTGAGTTTTGAAAACAGTCATTCATTTGTTTTTCCTCATTATTTTTTTCTTTGGTGTCGCTTATTACCGCACAATGGAAAATATGAAATATCGGTATATTTACGAATACGAGTTTTACCCTTGCACCAGTGCTACGGAAACGGCTCGAAGAATTAATGATGTGTATGGCGCTGGTGTCGCAAAAGAAAGCATGGCACGTTTTTGTTTCAATGTTTTCGTTCTGGAAATTTCGATCTTCAGATCCAACCCCGCGGACGGCCGGATAACAAACTGGAAAATGAATAATTAAAAGCTATTGTGAAAGCTGATCCATCACAGAGCACTTCAGAGATAGCTGTAGGCTTCACGGTAAGTGATAAAACTGTATTAATCCACTTGAAGTAAATAGGGAAAGTAAAAAAACTTGAATGATGGGTACCTCATAAATTGAGTGAATCGAACTTGCAAACACGCGTCGACTGCTGTGTTACTTTGCTCATCCGACATAAAAATGAAGAAAATGATTTAAATCGATTAATTACTTATGATGAAAAGTGGATACTGTACGATAATCGGAAGCGCTCGTCGCAATGGCTGAACCCTGGAGACCCAGCCAGATCCTGCCCTAAACAAAAATTGACTCACAAAAAGTTACTTGTGAGTGTTTTGTGGACTAGCGCCAGTTTCGTTCACAACAGCTTTCTAAAATCTGGCCAAACGATTACGGCAGATATCTATTGTCAGCAACTGCAAACCATGAAGGAAGAACTAGCTGCTAAACAACCGAGATTGGTCAATCGCTCTAGGCCACTGCTGCTTCACGACGAAGCAAGACCACATATTGCACAACAAACAACCACTAAGTTAGGCGAGCTACAATTGGTATGTCTGCGACATCCATCGTACTCCCTGGATCTTGCTTCAACGGATTACAATTTTTTCCGGAATTCGGATAACTTCTTATAAGGAAAAGTGTTCAACTCCAATGCGGCAGTCCAAACCGCCTTCAAAGAGCTTATTGATTCTCGCCCCCATGTTTTTTTTTTTAATAAAGGTATCAATGAACCTATGAGATGGCAAAAGTGCAAAGATAACAAAGGTGCATACTTTGATTAACTAAATGTATTTACAAAAAAAAATAACTTTATATTCCTCCTGTACAAAACGCCAATTTCATATGTAAGGACCTATTAGAAGAAGAATACTATGTCGGAAAGAAGTTTCATTTCATACGTGCATACAGTTACACGCACTATTTTTTTAATTTTCAGTTTACTTACTTTTAACGATTGTATTGTATAAATAAATGAACTAAGATCTTTGTAATGCACGACACACACGGTCACTTCAACTGATCAGTTCAAACTAGGGCTGTTGCTATTTTTTTAAATATCGGATTTTCGATATATCGATATATAAAACTCCGATATTGATATATTTGTAATTATCGATATATCGAAAATCCTATATTTAAAAAAATATCAATAGTCCTAGTTTGAACTGTTCAGTTGAACTGACCGTGTGTGGCGACCATAAGAGTAACTTATATATTTCGATTCTGTGTACGCCCCGCCCATTCTCACTAAACGCGGCGAAAATGAAAGGATGCCAGTGCCCAGATGCGGGACGTTCAAAGGCTATTACTGTATTTTTTGCTTTACTACGATTGACCAATACCTTGCAGCTCTAATATGGTCGAGAAGATCAAACCACCATGGTCGTGTTGTGGTGTTAGTGGCTCCCCGGTCAACTGCACAGCTGAGAGAGCTTACACGCAAGTATGTTCTTTTAACTTTTACAAAACTTTCTTATTTTTCGACGTCTCTAAAAATACTATTTACTGCCTTTCTTTTTTAATTTATTTATTATTAAAAATACAAAATTTGATTTTTAAATATACATATTCCCGCAAAACTGCTTACACAGTTTGTCTGCAGGAACATTTGAGTCTCATTTACATGATATATAATATTAATGTTAAGCACTGAGACTTGCCAATAAATATTTCTTTAATTTATTTTTAAATATGTTTTTTACTGGTTCACGTCGAATGTCCTCAGGCAAACTATTATCGAAAAAGAACGGTAGTCGTTTCTTTATAGTTCTGTCCCTGAAGTAGTTATTTACTTTTGGTATAACAAATTTGCCTGCAGACATCGACCGAGTATCCTGACCATGCTCGACCAATATTAGAGTACGGTCCCGGCAGTTGTAATTGTTTATGGCAAATAAATATTTATGTTTAAAAACTTATTGGGAATATTTTGCAGATTTTGAATAGTTTTGTGTAATCGCCTTTACAAATAGCTTTAGTTTTTTTTATTAACTAGTAACTTTAAAAATCTAATTTGTAATGCTTCAAGCTTATCAATGTTTTAAATGTAAGACCATAACTATCAAGAGAGTATCCCAAAATCGAATCTACCAATGAAAAGTATAAGCATTATAAAGTAGCATAAGAAATTTTAAAACTACGTACGAATTTACTTGAGACTCCGCTGGAATGCGACCCCCTTCCCGACTCCCCGCACCGCGTCCCGCGCTGGCAGTGCGCGCTCAGTACCGATAGCATTTTTGTTACGGATACGCGTATCCGTAACAAAAATGCTATCGGTAATCCGCTTATCCAAGATTGATTCACTTTCACCCTAAGGTTGCCTGGGAGAGACTGCTTTTTAGCAATAAGGTCGCCTGTTATGCTTTGTATTTTTATTGTGTACGAATCTGTAACACTTTTTATAGTGCAATAAAGTGTATAATAAATAAATTAATAATAATATAAATGAGAAAGTGTGTATGTTTATTTCTTTGTCCTTCCTTGACGCGTTAACTACTCGTAAAAATAATATTATATATATATTATAAAAAATAAATATTTAAAATATATAAAAATGGCAACAGTATATCACTTATTACTTCACCCCTTGCCAGAACATTTTATTTTGTTTTTATTAATAATCTCATGCAAATCTCAAAAATTTCAAATAAAAAAATATCACGACGCATTATTTTGCACACCGTACATTGACAATTACGTCATCGGCCCAGGTCTCAAGTTAATTCGTACGAGTTATAAAACTTAAGTGATAAAATTTACTTAGAAGTAATCTTAATTTATTACATACATAATCTACATGGCATAGATGTAGGTTACACAATCGACTAACTTCTTATAAACCATGTAAAATTAAAAAAATGTGATTGCCAACCCACTTGCCAAGCGTGGCAACTATGCCAAATATTTATATAACTATATCTGGCAATCCGTGGGGAAGACCTATATTTAGCAGTTGACTTTAATAGGCTGTAGCGGCAACTGTGCTGTGTTTCGTACGGTGAGTGTAGAGAACCGGAGACCCATTTAACCGCAAGCAAGGCATTCCATCTTAGTCCTCAGGGATAACAACGCATCTTCATTTTGATTCTTAATCGATGATAAATGTCTATGGGTTACAGCATCCACTTATCATCAGGTGGACTGTTTGCTCGTTTGTCACTCCATTCTAAAAATAAAAATATTTAGGTGCCTATGCGTCACGGCAGATACTTCATCAGGTGAACCGCGCGTTTGTCATTCATGCTTGTATTAAAAGAAGCATCCTTTTAATTTTTTCAGAACTGTCAACAGACTATAGCAGCTTGGCTTGATCAATACCAGCCCGCCATCTATGTTTCACTAACGATACTACACGTTCTGTTGTCGTCCTGTTCACTCATACGCCGCGCTCGTAGTCCATCTCGCTCGTACAGCTAGCGTCAACAGCGGCCTGTTGGTGGAAGTAAGTTAACGTTTGTCTTTTATTAAGAAAAGGTAATTAAATGTATACGTCCCACTACTGGGATCTAGTACCCTTTAATTACTGAGAGGGTTTGAAAAGGAGGTGGAAAGGAGAAAAGAGAGAATTGGAAGAGTGTTTTGGTGGATTTTATATTTCACAAAGATTTCCTCAAGTCGTCATTGGTGACAACGCATTTTTATTATTAATCGATGTTAGATGTAGATGGATGTGGGACGTGTTCATACACGGTAGAAGTGTAACCTTCACTTTTTCAGAAAAGAAAACCGATATAATAGAAAACAACACTGTATTTTATCCCATTAACCTACTATCATGTAAACTGTGTACTCGTTTGTCATGCTTATACTATAAAAAAGGAAAATATTATTTGTCACCGGGTCTGGATAGGTGTCATACACACCTATGCTTACAACTCGCGGCTCGAAAGTCTAGCGGCGACCGTTATTGCGCATAATTGGCTGTATTGCGCATTATTGCGTGTGATTGGCTGTGCGTACCGCTTGCTCGTGTTGATTGGTCATTTATTTGCATTCCGCCCCCGTGATACGTCATTCGCAGCTATCCCAGCATTGTATCCACATTTCGTTCAGCGCTAGATTTACGTGCCGCGAGTTATATGTCGCTATTTTTGACGAAAAGTTGCTGTGCATGTTCGCTGTGTTCCGGTCTGAAGGATATAAAGAACCGGTGTTACAGGCTGTGAGGCATTCCATCTTAAACTTCAGCCGTGGCAACGAATTTGCTGGTTTTTTGTTAGAAGTTGATTGAATTTGTCCAGAGCTGGAGCCTACTTACCAAAAGGTGGACTGTACATCAACAATTAAAGTACATAAATGTATAATTAATAATCAAACACGTCGCCAATTCAACATAATGCTGCAAAGGCAGCGCCCATTTTCAGTTGAAGCCATCACTCACGATTCGGTGTGATCTTCCAATAACGAGTTAGTGAGTAGTACTACGAGGGTGGATTGAAAAGTACTCGGTCTAACCAAGAAAATAAACACATACTAAATCAGTTATATTTTTATTTTTCTACATAATCACCATCAAGTTCAATACACTTTTGCCACCTCCCCTTCCAAGCATTTAGACCGTTGAAAAAAAATGATTCTTCCTTAGAGTCAAAATATGCGTCTACAGCTGCTTTGACCTCGTCGTTTGTCGAAAATCTTTGACCTCCCAAGTGCATTTTTAGGTTAGGGAACAGAAAGAAGTCTGATGGTGCCAGATCAGGTGAAACGGCGGATGCGGTAATAGTTCAAAACCACAGTTGTGAATTTCAGCCATTGGCTGTACTGACGTGTGAACACGGGCGTTATCTTGATGAAACAGGACTTTTCTTCCGAGCATTCCTCGACGTTTTTCTTTTATTTCCTCTCGTAAACGACGTAGTAAGGTGCAGTAGTAATCAGAGTTTATAGTCTGACCCCTTTCAAGATAATCAATCATAATCACACCTTTCGAGTCCCAGAATACTGAAGCCATCACCTTATTTGCCGACAAAATCGACTTAGCCTTTTTTAGGGGGTGGTAAACCAGGTCTTCTCCACTGTTTTGATTATTTTTTTGTTTCCGATATACAGTAATGAACCCATGTTTCGTCCATAGTAACAAAACGATTCAAAAAATCATCTGCATCGGCTTCAAATAACTCCAAACAGTCGCGTGAAATAGTCAATCGCGTCCTTTTTTGTTCAACTGAAAGCAGTCGCGGAACCCACCTCGCAGACACCTTGTGGAAACCCAACTCGTTGACAATGATGTTTTGAGTTCATTCATAAGAGATGCCTATAATCTCGGCTATCTCTCTAATTTTTATCTGCGGTCTCCCATTATTAAATCAAGTACTTTTTTAATATTTTCGTCAGTAGTTGACGTCGAAGGCCTTCCAGAGCGGGGTTCATCTTTCACACTCTCTCTACCACGCTTAAATTCTGCTATCCATTTTTTGACGGATGAATATGACAGAGCACAATCGCCTAATGTACTGACCATGTCATCATGGATGGCTTTTGATGATAGCCCCTTCTTATGGAGGTACTTAATGACGGCACGCTGCTCGATTTGCTCCATTCGCGGAAATTATGTCCGATTACTTTGTTAATAAATTTATAAAATCACAACTAATTATCGCACACGTTTCGAACTTCACACAATGAACTAGTCTGAACTGAACTAAATAATGTGGGTAGATTTGATTTTTAGAATTGAATGGATCTGTGTTAGGCCGAGTACTTTTCAATCCACCTAGGTATATGCTAATGTACATAGATAATATACACTGAGACTAACCTAGCCAGCAGATGTACAAATTTTAAATAGTATATATTTATTCAATATAAAAAATTAAAATTCATTTGCTACTACAAAAACAAAAAATATATGGTGCCTAGTTTAAGGCATTCGATAATATTAAATGTACTAAATTTGAAGCCGTGATCGATGTCGTTTATTTTTTATATCTATTAATCCTTTTTTTCCTTAACCCTAGGCACTCCACCATCAGCGCCAAGGAAGCGTACATCCCGAGTCTCTCCCACTACGAGTTCACCAAAAGAGGACGTTTTGATGATTGTTGTAGGCAGGGGAAGGGGTTGGACTGAAAAAGATTGAATGGATACAAAGAAACGTTACCAACTTAAGGTTGCCAACTTTTTTTTACGAAAAATAGTTTAAAAAGATTTATTACGTGTAAAAATATAGTGGAGGGCGAATAGATACACTTTTGAGAGTAAAAAAATACAGCATCATTAAAAAAAATGCAGGAATGTCCAAAACAATAAAATTCCTATTGCTGCAGACATCACGAGAAGAATCAGCAAGAAACTGTATCGGAGGACAGGATAGATAGGACATCCACAGCTTTGTAAGCTTAAAGGGTAAAAGGCGTAGTATTAAAGACTGCGATCTCAACAAAAAAAAATTATTGTGTGGACACTGTGTGAGTGATGTCATTCACAAGTTACAAGATCACTATAGACACACCAACGATTGCGTTAAAAGTAAAAATCAAGAAACGGCCTTAATACCTTTCAAGATGAATTTTTATATTTAGTATGTAATTTAGTTAAATTAATAGCTAATTATTTCACTGCCATTTTGTAAATGTAAATTTCAATAAATCGTACGCTAAGAAATATTTTGTTTTTGATTAATTTAAAATCTAGATATCTATTTTAAATAGTTTTTTTTTCAACCGATTTCAAAATGATGGAGGTACTCAATTCTACTATATGTTACTTTTATGTGTGCTATACTTCAGAACTTTTTACTGGGTAAACCGATTTTGATGATTCTTTTTTTAGTTGAAGGCTGGTGCTTCTCATGTGGTCTCATATAAATTTTATCAAGATCCAACTACTAGTTTTTGAATTACACTTAATAATGCATATTTAGTCATCCGTTTTTTACCGATCATGATTGATGGAATTGATTGACACCTGCATGAGCGCGTAATGTACGCCTATCAGTCACTATTCGTTTTTTATCAATCATGTTTGATGGAATTGAAAATTAGTAACTGCTATTAGCTGCTATTTGCTGACTACTACTGTTTATTGTCTACTAGCGACGCAGGCGAAGCCGGGATAGGAGGGTGGGATTAAGAGTAAGTGGAGTGGCATTATTTAGATTTAATATTTTTTTATAGAATAAGGGTGATAAATGAGCACGCAGTCCACCTGATGGTAAGTGAATGCTGTGGCCCATAGACATCATGATGATGATAGATGACAGATGCGTTGTCACCCCTGAGAACTACGATGAAATGCCTCGTTTCCAGTAAAAACGGGTATCTGGTTCTACACTCACCGTACGAAATACAGCAGCATTAAGCTGCTATTTCACGCTGGTATTCTGTGAGATCCTGCCACGGTCGAGCCGACCCATTCGTGCTACGACCGTAATGTAGCTGCAGCGTAGCTCTACCACATATATGGTCATCAAATACCATTTATTTAATAATTTTTTATCTTAAAAGTCTAAAAAGTTTTTCGAAATTATTAATTTTGATAGCTAATTGAGTCGTTCTCCACCTTTTTGTGGACTTTCATTACAATGAGTTCAGTCAATATGTTTGCCCGCACAGGCATACATATACACAAAAATTTAAAAAGTATTTACTTGTATCTTAATTGCATACAAATAACCTCCTCAGGTCAATAAAACACTATAGATCATGTTTTTGGTGGAATTTAGATATTGTAATAATAAGAGAGCCGTGGTAGCTCAGTGGTTAACGCTCGCTGTAAATATAACAGAACGCGAGAGTAACCCGGGTTCGATCCCCGCCGGCACCAATGAAATTGTTAATTGCAATTTTAAGTGCTGATTTACCACGTGCTCGGCGGTGAAGGAAAACATCGTGAGGAAACCTGCATGTCTGAGGAATAAGAAAAAAAATATTTTTCGAAGACATGTGAAGTTCGTCAACACGCATTTGTTCAGCGCGGCGGACACTTCCTTGCCCTAAACCCTCTCAGAAATGAGGGGAGGCCTGAGCCCAGCAGTGGGACGTATATAAGCTGTAACCTTACCTTACCTTACCTTAGATATTATACGAGTAACTGACCCTTTAAAAACGGTACATAAACATAATCATAAACACTCTCGCCTGTCACCCAGAGGGGTAGGCAGAGACTACACATTTTTATTTGGCACGATCCTGACACAACTCTCTCGCCTCCTCCACATCCATATACCTACGTATACACTATACATGTGCGTTGATTAAGGGTTAATTTGGCCCATTTTTAATATATCGCCAATTTGGTCGACAAACTTTCGCTTAGGGCGTCCCTTTCCGACTCTTCCATTCACTTCTGCAACATAAATTTGCTTTGTCACTCTTCCCTCAAACGGAACTAAAAACGGAAGTATCCTGATATTAGCTGTACATTATAATACTGTGGGGTGATATTGATCGAACGGGTAATATGGGACCACCCATTCACCTAAATTCAATGTATGCAGGTTTCACCCCATTTGCACTGAAAAAATTTGGTCACGCAATGCCCTGGCGTAATTAGGTCACCCGTGCAATCGATTCCCGGGCAGTGCGTGCAGCACAAGTATCACTTTTAAAGCGACTTAAAAAAAGGCTCTTAATTCATCTATATGTTTACTTTTTACTAGCTGTTCCCCGCAATTTCATCCGAGTGGAATTTATTACGTTTGGATTTCATGATTTTTTTTGTGCGGTACCCTAATTCTTTTCTAAAACAAAAGTAGCCTATGTTACTCCTTATCACATATAACATTAGCTATCAGTGAAAGTCCCGTTAAAATCGGCCCAGCCATTTCAGGGACTAGCCGGAACAAACAGATAGACAGAGAAAATAATATTTTGAAATTCGTTTTTTGTTATAAGTACTGTATGTATAATATTAAAGATTATACGTGGGAGAGACACGCTGCAGCTATATTATGGTTGTAGCACGAATGGGTCGGCTCGACCGGGGAAAGACCACGCTCTCGCAGAATACCAGCGTAAAATAGAGTAGCTTAATGCGACTGTGTTTCGTATGGTGAGTGTAGAGAACCGAAGACCCATTTTACTTAAATCCGAGGTATTCCATTTTAGTCCTCAGGGTGACAACGCATCTGCATTTTGATTCTTAATCGAGGTTTAATGAAGATGTCTATAAACCACAGCATCCACTTACCATCAGAATAACTGCGTGTTCGTTTCTCACCTTTATTCTATAAAAAAATATTGTGTTGTAATTGTAATTAATTACATATTTTCGGCATTCTATTTGTATATAAAAAACTACTTAATGCGCTACGCTGATGAATAACAGCCGGGGCCTACACGAAAATTACTTTGCGGACAATACCGTAATATGTACTTAGCGGCGATCACCTCAATTCCAGTTTTCAGAGGTTAATTATCTATAAAAATATTACAGCCTATATACGTTTCGCCGTACACAGGCCTCCTCTCATATTTGGGACAAGATTATGCCCGACGCGTTCCCCCAATATTGACAGACGTCACATCTTTGTAACAGCCTACCAAAGTCTACAACATAAGCCAATTGTCAGTATTTTTTCAAAACACAATTTCACCATCGCGCATCGCGACAAAACTCGCGATAGCATCCATACCATCCGGATAACTGGCGGTCCACCACTGTGCGATTTGAAATAAGTTTTCTTCCTCGCACAACTTCCTTGTGGAATCGACTACCACCAGAGATTTTCCGAACCGATACGACTTAGGGACCTTCATGAAAAGAAACTTTTTCTTTTTAAAAGGTCGGCAACGCATCTGCGATTCCCCTGGTGTTGCGTTCATGGTCGACGGTAATCACTTACCATCAGGTGAGCCGTATACTCGTTTGCCCCCTCTGCTATAAAAAAGTCTGCTTCACAACAGTGCTACTTGCCTAGTCGCTACACTTGGCAAGTTGGCAACCGCAGTGTTTATTTTCTAGCTGCTATCAGAAAGACCCTGCCGTCCAGCTCTCGGTTGGTTGCCTTCTGATGTCTCTTATATGACACACACGAGATAATATAAGGTAGTGGATTTTCCTACTCCGCCACTATCGGCCTTCACACGTCTTTAAAATATTTGTTCACAGAGATTTAGGTTTCCGCAGGATGTTTTCCTTTACCGCCGAGCACGTGGTAAATCAGCACTTCAATTTGCAATTGACAATAACTTTACGGAATCGAACCCGAGTTGCTCGCATACTGTGAAATTTACAGCGAACGCTTAACTCTTGAGCTACCTGGTTAAATAATAAATTGATTTGCATTCAGTAATCGACAAAAACACCATCACGGTGGCCAGGGACTAGTCATATTAAGCAAAACAAAATTATAGTGCACTGTGTATACGCAATCACAGGTGCATTCTCTATTCCCTCGCTATCATGGCACGCTAGATCGGTAAGCCAACACGACCGGAGAGAGATCAGGTGCAGAACCTGCTGTTTTACCTGCTTTCCGAGGCACCGTGGTACAGCACCGTTAACTTCCTGACTACGAGATGCTACTGAGAATATCTTGACATATCGAGTGACGTGCTGTGTCGTGGTCACTTGGAAGAGAAGGACAAATTGGCCTCTAAAAAGCTTGGCGTGCTCAGCAGAGCGGGACAGTATTGCATGCTGGCACACCGCCTGCAACTTTACAAGGCGCAAGTTCGGTCTCACATGGAATACTGTTCCCATCTCTGGGCTGGGGCTCCGCAATGCTAGCTCCTTCCATTTTATCATATCCAGCGCAGAGCCGTTCGAATCGTCGGCGACCCTCGTTCCAATCAGTCTGAATCTCTGGCACTACGAAGAGGTGTTCCACCTCTTTGCGTATTTTATCGTATTTATCACGGGAAGTGGTACCATCAATGGTTCATACCATCTGGGTGACTGGCGGTCCACCACTATGCGATTTAGACGAATTTTTTTTTCTCGCACAACTTCCTTGTGGAATCGACTACCATCAGAGATTTTTCCGGACTGGTGGACTTAGGCAAACCTTCAAGAAAGGAGCCTACTCCTTTTTAAAAGTCCGGCAACGCATCTGCAATTCCCCTGGTGCTGCAGTTGCTCATGGGCGGCGGTAATCACTTACCATCAGGTGAGCCGTATGCTCGTTTGCCCCCACTTCTATAAACAAAAAACCAAACAACTGATTTTGGCCCGACCCGGGATACGAAAACGGAACCACATTATCAGCAGTCTTACTTTCGACCACTAGATCAACGAGACAGTCGTTAGAAGTATAAACATATTCTAGGAGAGAATTTCCTGCTTGGTAATACATTTTTTGCCTAATAATTAATTTTTATTTAATTTCTAATTACACATGTTCACATACAGGAACAAATATGATTGCAGTTAAATAAAGTTACAATAAATCTAACAAAAATAACATGCTATAATAAAATTAAATATATGTGTAGCTTTATAATGTAGGATCTAAAAAGAAATCGAAAGGTCAAGTTTATAATATTAGGTACCTGCCTGAACTAGGTTGAGTACCTGTATTTTAGACCATCACTTACACTATGGGTTTAATAATGTAGGACTCTAGATAATTTAAATAATTAACTATATTCTATAATTTATTCATTATATAATAATTAAGCCATTATTTGTTAACTATAATTAATACAAACAATTTTAGGGTTTCTAACAACTTCTCTGTGTCTTCGTAATTTAATTTATTCAGAAATTCTACAATACATTTCTTATAACTTAGTCAGTTCAACTGATCAGTTCAAACTAAAACTGTTGATATTTTTTAAAATAGTGGATTTTCTATATATCGATCGTTATAAATGTATTATCTGAGTTTTACATATAAGTTTATTTATGGATATATCGAATATCGATATTTTAAAAAGTATCAATAGTTTTAGTTTGAACTAATCAGTTGGAATGATCAGTTTAACTGACCGTGTGTGGCCACCATCACACTACATATCTTTAGTGACTTGTTGAGCCTGTTATATAGAAAAGATCTTAAAAAAATATAAAATCTGTTCACAAATTCATTTTTCGTTTTGGAATGAAATAGGACAGCAGTAGGTTCGTTTAGTCTCCACTACACAGCAAAGTTCGTCATTTTAATTGTATAAATAAAAAACGTTATTAGTATGAAAATATTTTATTTAAACAGCTTCCTTTACGTTATTATTAATGAAAACTTTATGAGACATGATCCTTGTGAATGCGGTGATGGTTTGTGAGTTACAAAGTTCTTCATTCCTGGGTGCGGTTGAAACTATTCCACGTAGATAGTACCGCAGCTTACCACGATCTAGATCCGGAAAGGAAAGCCCGCCGCCGCTGTCGCCCTTGCAAAGCGCCGTACCTGAAATATAAGATGATACAAAAAATATATAAATATAAATAAAGTATGGTGGCGGTGTTAAGACTATCCAACACTCCATATCATCCCGTGGTGTCGTAACAGGCGATAGTGAGAAACAAATCAAGAGATGGCCAGCAGAGTCTTCCTATCAACGACTAAAAATTTAAAAAAAAACGAGTGTGCTTACGACCACACGACTGAAGTAAAACTTCTTTAGCTCCATAGAACATAGGCCTCCTCTCATAGATTGCATCATAGGGGGGGGGGTTATTTGTTATAGTTGCCACGCTTGGCAAGCGGGTTGGCAACCGCAGTTTCTTTGAAGTAAAACTTCTTAACGCACCCTTGACTTGTGGAGGAAACTGGCGAATGCGTGACGAAAGCGTTACGAAAAGTGTGATCGGGCGAGGCGAACGGGAGTTGAGTGGCGGATATAAGTAAGACAGAACAGTGCGCGCGCACATTTTCTTTCTCTCATAGCCAGTTATTTTTCGGAATTTTATTTCGTTTTGAACAATTTTATGAATTAATATTTTGTGCAATACATTAAATATTATACGTTCAAAGTGAATAAAATTGTAAAATTGTATATATATTACATATACATATATTAATTTTCTACAAATATTTAAATTTATTATTTACTTCATAATACGAACAATAAAATGAATTTACAATTTTATTCACTTTGAACGTATAATATTTAATGTATTGTACAAAATATTAATTCATAAAATTGTTCAAAACGAAATAAAATTCCGAAAAATAACTGCGAATAAGTGCGAAGTATTGCCCGGAACTAAACTCGCCGCTCGTGTGAATTAACGAGTTTAGTTCAGTGCATAAATTGACAGGACGCAACGTGTTTGCGTTCCACCCTCAAAATAGAAAACTGTACTTTTTTAACTAAACTCACTACGAAGATATTTGAACGCTACTGTAATTGCTCGTATAAGGGAGCGTCGATAAAATAGAGCGGGTTTGCTGGCGGGATGTTAACTGGAGAGCATACAGTAGCAGTTAGATGAGCAATAAATAACACTTCTTGAGAGTTTCTTCTTATTTTATTTCTTGATTCCTTATTATTACATTGCCGGATTTGGAAAATTTTACCACGAAAAAACGCCCCTTTTTTTATAAGCGGCTGTAACCAATCATAATTAAGAAAAAATCGCACACGGCATTAGTGAATCTATTGACCAATCAGAGCACAGAATAACCCTTTCTAAGAGAGATTTACAATTTTCTTAATAAACGTGGTAAAACATATCTTACAACATTTATATTTATTCCTAGCGATAGATACAACTTATTTCTATTATTCTAAACCTAAATTATTCAATAAACCTTTATTTTACACTTATAAAAAATAAAAATAGCTTCGCGGTCGCTTCACGGTTTAGCTCCGGAGTAGGATAGTATTTTTTGCCGAACATACAAGTAGCGCCGCCAAGAGGTAGGAATGTACAACACTTTTTCAGGATTAATGCTTAAGAATCTATACAATATTTTTTTATAAAATTTAAATCTTTCTCATAATGAAATGACATTATATAGTGATTAATTGACATATTAATGTTTCTTTTGAATTACTTTAAAGGAAGAAAAATTATATTAATCACCTATATGTTAATAGCTCTTAGAGTTATGATAAAAGAAATCTTACTAGAAAAATAAGCTTATACTTGCGTCTAATGTTCTAATCTACTTTCCTGTTTTCAGCACTAATCAGTATTTACACTTAACTTTATTTTACAAATAGGAAACAATTAAGATTAAATACTATCACTTAGTTTTAAATCACTGATAAGAAGTAATTAAAATTAAATGTTCGAATTCACTTTGTCGTCGCTAACATTCTCCCCCACGGTGCGTAGCACTGCACCCTCTGGAGGCGACGACTCCGCTGGCACCAGCACGATGACACGTCGAGTTGGACGGCGAAGTATTCCACCTGATGTCCGCACGTCCAGCACCCTGGTTCTTCCGTCTGGTCCGGGATAGGTTTTGACGATTTCACCGCGAGGCCATGAGTTTCGCGGTAATGTGGCGTCCACTATTAGCACGATGTCTCCTTCCCTTGGGTCTCTGGTTTCTTTCCCTTCGAGTTTCCTTGGCATCAGGAGAGGTAAGTATTCTTTAATCCACCTTTTCCAGAAGTGGTCTGCGAGTCTCTGGGTGGTTCTCCAGCTTGCCCTTCCGATGAGCTCCGTGTCGCTGAACTCTCCCGGCGCCATAGCTCCGCATGATCTTCTCAGCAGAAAGTGGTTCGGTGTTAGGCTTTCCTCGTCTCCTGGGTCCATGCTGATCGGGGTGAGAGGTCTCGAGTTGACGATGTGTTCAACCTCAGTCATTAGCGTATGGAGTACTTCCTCGGGCGGGCTCTTCTCGTTGAGGACTACTGCTAGCGCCGTTTTGACTGTTCGTACGAGCCTCTCCCAGGCGCCTCCCATGTTTGGAGCTCCCGGGGGGGATGAACTTCCACTGGATGCCCTTTTCCTGTGCGGCCTCTTCTAATTCCCTTTTCGCTCCGACGAAATTAGTTCCGTTGTCGCTATATATTGTTTTCGGAGTTCCTCTTCTGGCTGCCATTCGTCGGAGTGCCATGCTCATTGAGCTGGTGCTGAGAGAAGGTACCAGCTCTAAATGTACTGCTCTAGTTGTGAGACAGGTAAATAAGGCTCCCCAGCGCTTCTCGTTCCTTCTTCCGATGGTGACTTGCATCGGCCCGAAGTAGTCTACAGCTGTGCAGGAGAACGGAAATTGATGATGCTGCAATCTTTCACTCGGCAGATCTCCCGTTGGTGGTATCTCTGGTGAACTCTTCTTTGTCTTGCACCATTGACAGCTGTGTGCGACCGCTTTTAGAGTTGCTCTTAAACCCAAGATCCAGAACCTTTGACGAATTTCGTTCATTACTGTAGCGGTGTTTCCGTGAAGGAATTTCCAGTGATAGTTTTGTATTATTAGACGAGTTATTTTTTGTTTTCCGTCTAAAATGATAGGATTCATTATTCTTCCGTTTTGATCGTGGAATTTCATTGTTCTGCTCCTTAATTTAATTATTCCGTCGTCTCCAATGTAAACGTCGATTTTCTTGAGTCGACTCGAATTTTCTAATGGCTTTTCTGACTTCAGTTTTCTTATGTCTGATGCAAAACTATCGTTCTGGCTTATTTTTATTAATATCTCTTCGGCCTTTTTTTAGGTGTTCTGCTTCTATGGGTGAGTATAGGCGTTTATTTTCACTTCTGCTGGTCGACGGGATTGAGGTTTGTGTTTCTTTCTTCTGGATTTTTTGTGGTTTCCAGGACTCATCCTTCTGGCGTGCGGCGGTGGTGGTCGCTTTACGGCTCTTCTTTAGTAGGTGTGTAAAGGCGATCACTCTGGCTGTAGTGCGCAGCAGTCGCTCCCAGCTCGAGAATCTTTCTAGGTTTAGTAGGGTGTCTTCTGCTGCCATTGTTGCCAACACCTTTTGCTTGCTTTTTTCTTCTGGCATAACAATTTCTGGCTTGAAGTCGTGGAATGGCCATTCTTCTTCTGGTTGACGGAGAAATGACGGGCCTTTGAACCATCTGGCGTTGTGGTCGAATTCGATTGGGGTTCCCCTCGTGGCGTCGTCCGCTGGGTTCTCCTTGGTTGGCACCCATCTCCAGTCTTCTGGCTTGGACCTTTCTTCGATCTCGGCGAGTCGGTTGGCCACAAAAGTTTTGAACTTCCTTGGTTCTGACTTTATCCACTGCAGTACTGTGCTGGAGTCGGTCCAGTAAACCTTCTTCGATATGTCGAGCTCTGATTCCTCTTCGATTGTGGCGGCTAGTCTGCTTCCGAGTAAGGCCGCTTGTAACTCTAGCCTCGGAATTGACACAGGTTTCGTCGGCGTTACCCTTGCTTTGCCGGCGATCATGGAGACATGGACCTTTCCTTCGGGCTCTACTATTCTCCAGTAGACTACCGCTGCATAGGCTTCTTCACTCGCATCGGAGAACGTGTGTAGCTGACCTTTTTTGCCTTTGGGTGAGACGCATCTCGGGATCTTCAGCCTTGTTAATGTTGAAACTTCTTCCAGGTATTTCATCCAGGCTTCTTTTTGATGTTCGTTGATTGGTTCATCCCAGTCTATTTTCTTTCGCCAGATGTCTTGGATTAGTTTCTTCCCTTGTATTAGAACTGGTGTAGCAAAACCCATTGGATCGAATGTGGACATTACTGCGCTTGTGACTTCTCTTTTTGTTGGAGTCCTTCTGCCGTCTTGCAGGTCTTCCGGCGTGTTACGTAGCCCGACGTTGAAGGCTAATGCATCTTCTTTCACCAGCCATCTTAGTCCCAGAGTCTTCTCTTCCTTGGTCAGTTGTAAGGAGTTTTCTTTGTTTGTGTCTTCTACCTCTGATATTACTCCCGAGTTGTTGCTGGCCCATCCCTTCAGATGAAAGTTTGCTCTTGCGTGAATGTCTTTTACTTCTTTGGATATCTTCTTTGCTTCGGTTGTAGATGCGAAGCTCTGCAGATAGTCGTCCATGTAGTGATTTCTCTTAATTGCTTTCACTGCTTCAGGATGAGTGTTCTTAAATTCCTCTGCGTTCTTGTTCATTACGTATATTGCTGTTGCAGGTGATGACGCTGCTCCGAAGATGATTGAAGACATTCTATACTCTTCAGGCTTGCCGGTTCTTCGGTTTCCGCGCCACAGGAACCTGAGACTGTCTCGGTCGTCTTCTCTGACTTTTACTCGGAGAAACATGTCTTGTATATCTGCCATGACGGCTACTGGTCCCTCTCTGAAACGCAGCAGTACTCCGAATAGTGATTGTAGCAAGTCTGGGCCCGAGAGCAAGGCGTCGTTGAGGCTCTTTCCTTCGTGCTTGGCAGCTGCGTCGAACACTATTCTTAGCTTCTTCTTGACTGGGTGTACAACAGCGAAGTGGGGTAGGTAGAATGTCCTTCCTTTGTTAGAGGTTTCTGGAGCCTTCTCTGCGTATCCTTTTTCGATTAGATTCAGGATTTGCTCCTCGTAGTGCTTTCTTGCTTCTTGATCACGATCCAATTTTTTCTCGATGCTGACCAGGTGTCGAACAGCTTGATTGTAGTTGTTGGGCATGCGTTCATCTTCTTTTTTCCACAGGAGACCCGTTTCATACTGACCGCTTGGCAGTTTCTTGGTAGTTTTCTCGAGGGTTTCTAATGCTCTTCTGTCGCTGTCGTTAGATGGTGAACGATTTTGGATCCCTAGAGACTCTAGTTGGAAGTGTTCTCGGACGAGGTCTTCTATGTCTTCCTCGCCAGTGGTCGCTTTGCCATAATGAGTGAAGTGTACTGTGGCAGTTGTTCCTGTTTCACATCCGTGTAACACCCACCCTAAGTTCGTGAGGGAAGCTACAGGATCTGATGGTTTGCCCTTCTTCAGTTTTCTTGTCACTATCAGTCCCCAATTGTCTTGGCCTATCAGTAGCTTGGGCCTCTCGGTGACGTAGAGGAGTTGATTTTCAATTGCCTTCAGGTGCTTACAGTTTCTCACGGTGTCCTTGTTTATGCATTGTTCAGACAGCTTCAGGTCGTCGATGGTCCTTGCTACGATAGTTCTCTTTTCTTTCCTATGAACCCCTTTTATTTTGAACTCGATTTTCTGTGAACTATCTTTTCTTAACACCTTTCCGCCGACGGTTTCAATCGTGAGTTTTTCTTTCTTTCCTTCGACTCCGATTTTCTCAGCGATTGATGCGTCTAAGAGTATGACCGTTGACCCTTCGTCTAGTAGCGCCAATACGCGAACTTGTCCTTTTGGGCCATAGAGGTTCACGGGGATCATCTTTAGGTAGGCCTTTTCTTCTCCTTTGGCGTTATGAATTGAGGCGACCTTTTCTTCTGAGGTGCTATTGGTGTCTTTTGCTTCTTTTTCTATCGACGCCGGTGGTTTGTCAGAATGTAAAATGGTATGATGCCATCTTTTGCACAGCTTGCAGACTGGTGCTTTACAGTTGATTCTTGAGTGTCTGAATCGAAGGCACTTGAAGCATATCTTTGCCTTCTTGGTCATATCCCATTTTTCATTCAGGTTGGCTTCTTTGAACCTTTTACATTCTAATACGAAGTGTTCTTTTCCACAGAACGGACACGACTTCTTATATTTCTCTTTTGACGCTTCTTGAACCAAATGAACGGGTTTTCTTATTCCTCTTCTTTGTTCTGAGGATGCTTCGGGCGGGGCGAAGTCTCCGCACATGTCGGCTTCTGTTTCTAGGAACGCTTCGATAAGTAATAGCTCCTGAGTTTCCTCATCTCTTCTGCTTCTGTGGTAGGCGAACCAACGGAACTTCATTGACGTCGGCATCTTGTCTACTATAACTCTCAGCGTTTCAGGTGAACTGAGATACTGTGGTTTCTTCAGGGCTTTGATTGTCTCGACTGCGTTCTTTACTTTGCTTGCAAATATGCATATGTCGCTCGGGTTTTCGCCGACTCTTGGGAGGTTCTTCATTTTTTTCTAGTTCTGCTAATGTTAGTGCTCCAGGTCTTCCGAATCTTGCTTCCAGTCCCTTAATTACTTCTCGTGGGTCTTCGGCGGTGAACAGCAGGCTTTGGACGGCTTCTCTAGCTTTTCCTTGGATCGCTATTCTAAGGCGCGCTAGGTTTTGATTGCTACTGAAAGAAGCAGCCGTATCCTCGTATGATCTTTTGAAGGCTAACCATTCTTCGCAGGCCCCGTTGAAGTGAGGGAGTTCGAGGTGCTTCGGTGAAACGGTGTCACGTGATTTTTCTGATAGCTTTAGTATGACTGAAGCTAGTTCCTGGATGTCACTTTTCTTTTCTTCTGCCTCTATTGGTTTGTGGTTCTTATTAGGCATGTCTCCGGTCTGGATGAACCAGCGTTCGACTTCTCGAGTTCGTTCGAACAGCTCTTCTCCGGCACCATCTTCCTCTTCTGATTCCGCGGTGAGAAGTTCTAATTCCGCTTGAGCAACTTTTGACCGCGCTTCTGCCAATTCTAGTTCCCTTAATGCCATTGTCATCTTTGCTTGCGCTTCTGCTCTCTTCCTATGCGACGAGCGAACGGAAAGCGTGTCTGGATCGCGGATCGTCTTCTTAGGGTGAGGCTGCTGCAGAGTCTTCATTGCGACACTTCTTTCTTGAATCTGCGGCGTTGGATGACTTTCTTCTTGGTGAGGAACTGACGCTTCGACGGTGCGTGTCAGGGGGTGGTATGGGTTACGTCCCCCGGTGTTGATTCTTTTCCGGCAATGTTCTTGTTAAGAAGTACGGGTTGTCTGTGTACGCTGCTGGGCGATGCTCTTGTAAGCGTCGATCGATCTGAAGTCGACGTGTTAGTAGCCGTCGTGTTTGTAGAATCACTCGGCGTATTCATGCTCCAATCCGTCGTACTGGTACCCGTAGTGGCGTTACTTTCACTCGTAGTCTTCGACTGCACTGATTTTGATCTTGTATTTGAAGGCATCTTCCTAGTTTTCCTTAAACCCGATCCGGCTTCTCGAAGGACCAATGTAATTGCTCGTATAAGGGAGCGTCGATAAAATAGAGCGGGTTTGCTGGCGGGATGTTAACTGGAGAGCATACAGTAGCAGTTAGATGAGCAATAAATAACACTTCTTGAGAGTTTCTTCTTATTTTATTTCTTGATTCCTTATTATTACATTGCCGGATTTGGAAAATTTTACCACGAAAAAACGCCCCTTTTTTATAAGCGGCTGTAACCAATCATAATTAAGAAAAAATCGCACACGGCATTAGTGAATCTATTGACCAATCAGAGCACAGAATAACCCTTTCTAAGAGAGATTTACAATTTTCTTAATAAACGTGGTAAAACATATCTTACAACATTTATATTTATTCCTAGCGATAGATACAACTTATTTCTATTATTCTAAACCTAAATTATTCAATAAACCTTTATTTTACACTTATAAAAAATAAAAATAGCTTCGCGGTCGCTTCACGGTTTAGCTCCGGAGTAGGATAGTATTTTTTTGCCGAACATACAAGTAGCGCCGCCAAGAGGTAGGAATGTACAACACTTTTTCAGGATTAATGCTTAAGAATCTATACAATATTTTTTCTATAAATATTTAAATTTTTCATAATGAAATGAATTATATAGTGATTAATTGACATATTACTATGTTTACTTTTGAATTACTTTGAAGGTATAATAATTAATGTATTGTAATCACCTATATGTTAATAGCTCTTAGAGTTGTGATAAAAGAAATATTACTAGAAAAATAAGCTTATACTTGCGACTAATGTGCTAATCTACTTTCCTGTTTTCAGAACTAAACTGTCAGTATTTAATTAACTTTATTTTACAAATAGGAAACAATTAAGATTAAATACTATCACTTAGTTTTAAATCACTGATAAGAAGTAATTAAAATTAAATGTTCGAATTCACTTTGTCGTCGCTAACAGCTACTGTCCACTTAACCGTTTACTGTCAATTGCCCTGTTACTAAACTCGCTACTGTACTTGTCGAGGTGTAAATCAGCTATAAGCACTTGTCATTTGTCAGTTGCACTTGCCACTCGCACTTGTCACTTGCAAACAGGGCCTTTCGCAAGTTAGTAGTCTATTTTACGCTGGAATTATACGATGGGTAAATGATTGATTTTGTGATGGCCTATAGTGATGATGTTGATCAAGATCCGAGTACAGCTAGGATACGAAGTCAATAACATACTAACGTTGCAATAAATAAGCGAAGCAATTGCGGTAAGTATTAAAAACTAAAAGAGAGACATCCGTTGCGAAATGGTCAAAAATTTATTCGTAATAGAGCCATTTTGCAGTTTATTATTATTGTAGTACGAATGGGTCGGTTCGACCGGGGAAGGAATACGCTCCCACAGACGTGAAACCAGCGTGAAATAGAAGCTTAATGCTGCTGTATTTTGTATTTCAAATTGGAGAGCTTTTTTACTGAAAACCAAGCCATCTTAGTCCTGAGGGGTGACAACACATTTGCAATTTTGATTCTTAATCAAGGACATATGTACAATATCTATATCCCACAGCATTCACTTACCATCATGCGGACTGTGTGCTCGTTAGTAACCCTTATTCTATAAAAAATGAAATGCTATGTGGTGATGTTGCAGATTGCGATGATGATGATAGAGAAAAAATAATGTATATAAACCATTATAATATCCAGCGCAGATCTTATCGCTGGTAATGTGCGCTTTGAAATCTGGGGGTGATCTGTCCAAACAGATTCCAATGTCCACCACGGGGAGTTCAACAACGCGTAGTACTTCAGAAGGTTTACCCTTAGGGTCTGTCAAGCCCCAGCCTGCAACCTAAAAGCAAAAAAGCAAACAAGTTTTATCTCTACATATTAATAAAATTGAATTATCTATCTAAAATTAATTAACTAAAGTCACAACGTAAGAGAACGTTGACCGTCCATGAATAACGTAAGAGGTGACGTCAATAATTTTATTTCCAAATTTTTTACATAAAATGTCCCATAGACGAAACTTGTTAAGTAACCGCTCGTGAGTTTTATTTATTTATTTGCTTTTAAAGGGAAACATACAGTACAATAAAAAAATACATTATACAACATATAAATGTAATCCTAAAACCAATGAAGTTTAACACAGATCTAATATAATGATTTCTTAAATTTACGCGAACATTTCAGTTAGCGACGAAAAGTGAATTTAATTACTTATTTCCATTTTATTCTTATTTGTGATCTGAAACTACGTAAAGAATGTTAGTGTTAGTAACGAAAAGTGATTTAATTACTTATTTTAACTTTATTCTTATTTATAATCTAAAAAACTACATTAGAAATGCTAGCAACGAAGTGTGAATTTAATCACTTGTTTAATTCTGTTTTTATTGTAATTTAAAAACTACGACAATACGTGATTTAACTACTTGTATAATTTCGTTTTCTATTATAAAAATAGATTTTAGTCAATAAGAAAATTCAAAATGTACTCTGCATAATTTCTTAAGATTAAGCGTAATGTTGTTATCACGATAAGCATTGTGCATTCCTGCCGCCTGGCAGCGCTACGTGTATTTAACCTCGTGATGTCTACATGCACCAAGGTGCTATGCAGGTGTCGGGCCGCGGGGTGCACCCCATTGCCCGGACCTTCCTCATGGCCCACGACTATGGGCCAGTCCTAGTAGCCTATGTAGGCTAGGTGAACATGGAGTAAGTTTCCGTAGTATGAGAATTGATTTTCCCGTAGTTAACCGACTACGGTAAAAGGAGGTTATCCGATAAAAAGTTGAAGTTGGCCTATCAGCGGCATTGAGGGTTGTTACTCGACTCTCTAATCGCTATAGAGAGGAGTTCTCTTGGAAGAGGTCGCCCGTCCGGGGGCCGAGTGTGCAACGGCGCAAAGCCGTTGAGGTGTTCATGTGGCCCGTTGTCGGCGCGGTCATACATGCCGCGCGCTAGCCGGGCCACGAAGTCGGTTATGGTCTCGACTTTCAGATCGGCCGCTATGACGTCATTCCGGACGTAGCGACCTACTCCGACCTTAATGTCAGATTCTGCTGGGCCTGCAGTCGCCGCCTCAGAGGGTCGCTCAGAAGCGCGTACCAGGCCGCAGCAGCGTAGGTGATGATGGTGGATACATCTTGTATATCCGGAGCTTGGTTTTGATCGGCAGCTTGGATGCCAGGACCGGCAAGAGCGTCGCCCGCGCACATCGGGCTCTGCGGACGACGAAGTCGACGTGCGCGGTCATGCGCAGCATCCTGTCGATCCTGCACCCAAGGTAGGTTACAGCTTTCTGGTACGCAATCTTCTGGCCATTGAGGGTCAGTTGAGGTGGAAATTTTCTGAGAAGGCGAGTGAGCAGAGCGGTCGTCTTACCAACGTTGACGACCATCCTCCACTTGTCCAGCCATGGTGGCAGCAGGTCCAGCAGACGCTGCATCCTGGCAGTGGCTATGTGGGCTCTTCTGGACGAGGTGAAATAGGCACTATCGTCCGCATATAGCGCCAGCTCAACGTCGTCCTCCCACTCTTGGAGCCTGCCTGCCAGTGTTGGGATGTCGTTAGTATAAGCCGCGTACAGGACTGGAGACAAATAGCTGCCCTGTGGAACGCCGGCTCTGATGGATCTGGTTGCGGACTCAGCGTCCTCTACGCAGACGTAGAACTTCCTGTCTTCCAGGAAAGACGCCACTAGCCGCAACATAGCAAGAGGGACACTGGTCTGTTCGTACAGCTTGTAAAGCAATCCTGGGTGCCACACCCTGTCAAACGCCTTCTCGATGTCGAGAAAGACGCCCAACGATATGCGGCCACGATTGTACTCTGCCGCAAGCAGGTGCAGCACTCTAGTCAACTGTGTGACTGTAGAGTGACCCCTCCTGAATCCGTGCTGCTCCGCCCGAAGTTGGATGCACGGACTTAGACGTCTTAGCAGCAATCTTTCTAGCAGTTTAGCTATGTGCGGTAATAGCGTGATCGGCCTATAGCTGGAGCTCTACGCCTGTCCTTCCCGGGTTTCGGCAAGACGATGACTTTGCCTTTCTTCCAGTCCTCCGGGAAGTGGGATGTCCGCAATATCCCATTGTAGAGTCGACCAAGCCTTACTAGGACTCTGTTGGGCAGCTGTCGGAGTGCAGCGTTGGTAATCCCATCGTGCCCCGGCGCCTTCCTCGGTTGCAGGCGGGTTACTGTCCTCCGCAATTCAGCGGGGGAGATAAACCACTCTCCTGCAAGAGGCGGCGCGGGCGACGACAGGAACTCCTGTACGCGACTTTCCTTACGGGCATGAAGCTCCATGAACTCCGCACTCCGCACGTGTATTTAACGCAGAAAAAGCTTAGCTACTAGGGAGCTACACCGTGAGAAGACCGCTTCAGTATTTTTATTTATTAAAGGTATAAAATAAGGATTTTAAGAATGTTTAATGCCCCATTTACATTCAGCCCTGTTGGGTAGGGAAGTGAGCAGAGCAGTGAGCAGGGCAGTGTGTAAACAGGCTACTCGCGCTGACACTGCCGCTACCGCTGCCACTGCCCGACGCTCGCTCAAATGTCGGTTTTTCGTGCGGAAGTCAAGGGACGGGCAGCGCGAGCGGCAGTGAGTGTTCACATTCAGCCACAGAGTACCTTTGTATAAACTGATATTAGAAGAAGACACAGCGCAGACGCTGTAATTATTTCGACGTCTGCCATAGGCGAAAGCCGAAAGTGATGTGAGTGGTAGGGCAGAGTGTAAATACACACTTCCCGCGATCCGGCTACGGCAGCATTTAGCGAAGTATTGCCGGCAGCGCGAGGAGCAGTGGCAGTGGCTGAATATAAATGAGGCTTAATGTTTAATATGATAAATATAAACTAGTTCTAATACCAGAAATGTATAAAAACGTTGTAAGGGATGTTTTACCACAAAAATAAAAGACATTTGTAAGTTTCCCTTAGAAAAGGTCGCACTGCGCTCTGATTGGACGGAAAATCATTAGTGCCGTGTGCAATGCATTAGTGCCGTGTGCAAAATTCAACCATTGTAATTGGTCAGAATTGCCTATAAAAAAGAGGCGTTTTTTGTGGTTAAACATTCCAAATCCGGCAATGTAAGAATAAAACATCAAGAAAATAAATAGAAGAAAACTCTGAAAAAGTGTTATTAATGCTCATCCTACTGATACTGCATGCTCTGCTGTTGACATCCCGCCAGCAAACCCGCTCCACATTTAACACACTCACACACGAGCATCAACAACATCACATTGAATAAAACTATATTTACGGATTTTATTGAGTTTAATTAACTATTTTAACATATTTTTAATTCCCATACCCGATTCTCAGTACCCGATTAGCGATGAGGTTTTGGACATACTGTTGTGGCGACGCTGTCGTCGCGCCACAAACGAAACATCGAAGCCTAAATCGCGCTATCGAAGTTCCGAAGTAAAACTATCACATGGAGCGATGGTCGCTCCCCGGGCAGTACACCTTGCCCGGCGGGAGATTTCTCCTTTTCCATCCACGACCAAACTGTATACATGTGGTGCAATTATGTATTACGTAGCAACTATCGAAGATGTTTCTTTCTTTTCTTTCTTTCCTTTTCCGAAAACATCGTACAGCTTCCGATAAGAGGTGGTACAAGTACCTTTACGTAAGTCAAAATACCCAGCCCGCAACGGGAAAAAACTTTAATTTGGTTTTTTTATACGTGGTAGAGCCACGCTGCAGCTATATTAGTTGTAGCATGAATGGGTCGGCTCCACCGGGGTAGGACCACGCTCTCACATAATACCAGCGTGAAATAGCAGCTTAATGCTGCTGTGTTTCGTATGGTGAGTGTAGTATCCGGAGACCCTTTTTTACTGGAAACAAGGCATTCCATCTTAGTCTTCAAGGGTGACGACACATCTGCATTTTGATTGTTAATCGAGGATAGATGTAGATGTCTATGGGCCACAGCATTCTACTTACCATCAGGTGGACTGTGTGCTCTTTTGTCGCCCTTATTCTATGAAAAAAACCCACAGTGTTGCCAGTATTTGAGAATGGTGTAGGCTTGTTTCTTAAAGACCTCTAGGTCATATCGCTCTTCAAACTAGATAATACCTGCTACAATTTATTTTTTATTTTTCGCATTCTACCAGCAGTTTCCCACGATCCTTACCTTTCCTTTTTGTCCAGGTCTTAATTGCTCACTGTTGAAGGCTTCGTCGAAGTCAACGCAAACTGGTCGAATATATTGAGTATATTCAAATGGTGTTTCCACGAAAACCAGAGCAATGTCGTCTTGATAATTGGTCTCCGGGCCTCTGAATCGTTTTGGAATTTTTATATCGCTGACCTGAAAGACATTTTAAACAATAGTTAATGAGCTCGAAGCATTTGATTCTTAATCGTGAATAAATGTAGACGTTTACGGGCCATAACATCCAATTACCATCAGGTGGGCTGTGTCCTCGTTTGTCACTCTTATTCTATAAAAAAAAACCTTAACGATAAGAACACATCTGCATTTTGATTCTTAATAAAGAATAGATGGAAGTATCTTTGAGTTACAGCAATTACTTACCATCAGGTGGACTGTTTGCTTATTTCGTACCTTCATTTTTGTAATAGTAAAGGATGATAAACACCCAGACTAGCAAGTGGTGGTAACTTGAGAGAATGCATTACCCCATTTAATCCTAAATGTGTTGTAAAAGTCTACTAAAGTGAAATCCCTATGGTGGACTTCCCCCTATGATCTACAGAAAACCTAGAGAAGCCTGAACAGTGAAGGATTTCCTGAAAAATCCATTGAAATGCGATGGAACACTAATAGAATTCACATATCATTTCTCAAGCTTGCAGGTTTCCTCACGATGTTTTACTTCACCACGCACGTGGTAAACCATCGTGAGGACTTAAAACTGCAATTAAAAATTTCATCAGTGCCGGTGAATATCGCTGCCCGGAGTGCTTGTACTATAATATTTACATAATCGTTTAGTCCCAGAGCTCATCAACTGATAAAGAAAAAGAATAAATTAAAAAAAATACTATAATGTAAAAAATTTATAAACTTACATCTCTTTTCTGCTCGTCATTCTCGCGTTTATCATTCCAGGATCTATATATTTTCCCCGCAGCCACCATGTAGTCGGATGGCGGCATTTTTGTCTCCTTGTTACTATTCCAGAAGCAATGGGCCGCTGGAAAATTCATTTAAAGTCAAAATCGGAATATTATTATCTAAAACTTGCCACCGGCCATAGTTCCGCTTGGATAGGATCTAATAATTTGGCGTCCACTTATTTTATCAAATGTTTCCATTTCATTAAAAAAATTGGTTATCTGTAAAGTCGGTTTACTGACAATAATTTAACGTGACAACGTCATAACAAAACATTGATGAAATTATTGTATACTTTGTGTAAGATAGATAGGTCCGGTGCAATCCAATCCCTCAAGTCGATCGTGACTTTCGCTCGCTCGTGCAATGCTCTCACTCCAATCGTAACGTTACAATGAGCGTAACGTTACAATGAGTCTTTTTCGTGAGTGCAGCCGGCGTTCATCGATTTATGAGACGTTGTCACGTCAAAAACTTCAAGATTTTTGGATAAAATATAGCTTAGATCACTCCTGGCATTGTTCTCTATCTGTTCGTGAAGTTTCATTACAAACTATTCAGCCATTTTGAAGATTAACTATCACAGACAGACAGATCAAAGCTTAAAATTTTACATAAAAACGATTTCATTATTTTTTTCCTCCGGTAATAACTAACGGAGTTAGGGAATTTTAAGTTTAAGGGATAAACGTAAATATAAAAAAATTGTATTTATAGTAGAAAAATAAGCGATTTTTTAAAATTGCTTAACAAATCTAATGTTTTATTTGAGAAATATAAAAAAAATTTCAACCTTTTCCGGTGCTTGTAGATACGAAAAACCTTTACGTATTGTTTTTGTATCATTGAAACTACATTATAACAAAAATGCTAATTTGAGTGCTAAAACTTTGATTTCAGCTCAGATTTAGATTTCAGATTCTTCTCTTCTCTCCTCTTTCAGACCTTCAGATTTAGATTTTCTCCTTTTCTGAACAGACGGACAGTCCGAGTACCACCCATTTACTTCATTCTACCGTCAAATAACTTATATTTGGCGTGTACTGATTCGATCCCGGGTCGGCTCGACCAGGGAAGGTTCACGCTCTCACAGAATACCAACTGGCTTTAAGCTTAATGCCGCTGTATCTCGTAATGTGAGTGTAGAGAGCAAGAGACCTTTTTACTCGAAATGAAGGAAAATCTTAGTCCTCAGGGGTGTCTGTGCGTCTGCATTTTGTTTCTTAACCGAGGTCTTATCATCAGGTGGACTTTGTATTTGTTTATCATCCATATTCTATAAAAAAATCCTCTTCATTAATAAAGACAGCGTACGCTATAATCAGATACCAGGTGTACTGGCGATCGCAGAACAAGATGCGATGCTACACCCAGTTGACTGACTCTTCCCAGATCAGATGATCTTAGCTAAACAATTTTTAACATCTTGGGGTCCTGTCAACTTTCGATGGCCATGAGTTCTTGCTGCCCTTTGTCACAGTCGCCATATTCTAGGTCGTTTCGAATAAACATGCCATCGGACTATGAGAGTGAGGAAAGTGCACTTGAATATGCTACTAGTGCTGCGCTGATAACTAGTCTCAGTTTAGATGCATCGCCATTATAGCCCTGAAATTCGGTCTAGAGTACATTATTATAAGTCAGCTTCTTCTTTTTGATAAAAGGTATTTTTTAACCTTTTGATTTAAATGCCGTCTAAATAGTTACATTAAAAAGTTCATCATCATTTTGGTAGAATTTTTGGCATAGTTCTACAGACGAAGACTTAGCAAGTAATTAAGTTAGAAAAAACTGGCCAAGTACAAACCGACCGCACTCTATTACAGTTCTATATATTTTAGGACCAATTAACTTTTATTAACCTAAAGCCGATGCAGATGCAAAGGTACAACCTTTTGCTAGCATTATAAACGGAGCGGAGTAAAAGTCTTAAGTCATAACTATCTTTATTTCAACAAAAGATCCGCAAAAACGCAATGTTGATGTAAATTTGCGAATTGATTAGATAGTAAAAGAAAAAAAATATTCAAATTCAGATTTTTATTGTTTACAAACTTAAAAAAATTACTCGTATGTAAATAGGCCTACGGGTTACGGAGGAGATAGATTTCAAAGAATCGTTTTCTTGCGCAATGGGAGCTCCGCTCCAACTATATATTTATCTGTCTACGAGCAAAAGATCTGTGGCATACAGCCAGATATAATGACAGATTAATTGATGGAAGAATGAGTCTACTTTGAGCTACAAATATTGCCTAAAAAAATTACTCGTATGTAAATAGGCCTACGGGTTACGGAGGAGATAGATTTCAAAGAATCGTTTTCTTGCGCAATGGGAGCTCCGCTCCAACTATATATTTATCTGTCTACGATCAAAAGATCTGTGGCATACAGCCAGATATGCGGACAGATTAATTGATGGAAGAGTGACAATATTAGGGCTCCGTTAAACAGTGTTAAACAATACTGTAATACACGCTTACCTGATATGATGACCTGTTTTCTGACGAGTGAGCCTCCGCATATCTGTTCGAATGACCTTGACTTTTGGTAGATACCAGCATGCCATGACAGTTCACCACGCTCCGCTACACGGCCACCTATCATAAGCTGGTTGCTTTTCGGTACAACAGTACCACATTCTGTTTAAATAAAGAAACCTAAATATAAACACAATTTTTTATCGATAGCCATACAGTAAATATGTTGTATCTAATTCCTGGACTAGGAATTATATCTGTATCTTAGTGATCAATGCCCTCTCTCAATTTAATGTCCTAGTAAGTTAACAATAAAGGCCCAGTTAACAATAGTGTCTCAAGCAGGTTTACGTGGTAAAGCCACGCTACAGCTATATTATAGTTGTAGCACGAATGGGTCGGCTCGACCGGAGCAGGACCACGCTCTCATAGAACACCGGTGTAAAACGGTGCGTGTAGTGAACCAGGGACCCTTTTTACTGGAATTGAGGCATTCCATCTTAGTTCTCAGCGGTGACAACGCATTTGCATTTTGATTAATTGAGGATAAGTGTGAATGTCTATGGGTCACAGCATTCACTTAAACATCAGGTGGTCTGTGTGCTCGTTTGTCACCCAATGCTATAAAAAACAGAATAAGAATAGCTTATAAAATCCAAAAGTGCACGCCTCACGCGTTTTATTTAGTTTTGATAAAAACAATAAATTGTACTCCTGACTTTTAAAAATCACGTGTTTTAAATTTAGCTCTCTATTATTTTAACAGGTAGTGTCACCTACAGAGAAAAATTAATAATGTTTTAAAATTAATAATGTTAAAATTATATAATAACGTTAATTGTTGTCGTTTGAGTGCAATATGGTTATGATAGAGGCAGTTTTATAACATAATATTGCTTGACCTTGAAGTGTCGAGAGTAGAGCACTACTTATAAATAATAAATGAGGTAACCATGCTGATTCTATAAAAATTCATATAAAAATTGTACAAAATAAATTTATTGTAAATTGAATTATGTTTTAAAAAAAGTCCCGCCGGGTTTTTTGCTGGTTCTTACCTGGACAGAGGTTTTTTTGCGAACCAGTGGCAAATAAAAAATGATTTTCATTAAGTATAATACAGTAATCTATATTGAATAAAATAAAAAAAGTTAATGACGCTTCGTGTAATGAAGCGTAAAATAATTAACTTCTGAACTTCCCTGTCCGCAAAAAATAACACAACAGTTAAACAATTCAAATGTTCATATATAAATCATCAGGACAGTGAAATAATAGTGTGTGTTTGAGTTGGGGGAGGGGGGGCGAGTGATAATAAACCATTCTCAAATGAACTTAATCATAGACACAAAATGTCATCAAAATCGGTTCAGTCTTATACAAACACGGACAGAAACATTATATATATATATATATATATATATATATATATATATATGCTACTAGCTTGCCAGGCAGACTTTGTTCTGCCATTTTCGACGACCCTTTGTCATGTCCTATTAAAAATCCTTAAATTCGCAAAAAAAATTGTGGTTCACTCATGGGCAAAAAAACTATCCTAGGCGGCATATGATAATCCACTAACCCAGTTCAGTGAGTATGGTTGTTGTGGGTATTATTATTTCAAATTTACCGATAGGTATAACAGAGTGTTCCCGTTCCCGTGAAGGGTAGTCTGGCGGTGATATACATACATTACAGTACATTATAGTCCTCCGATATGACAACCCATGTATAGCTTTCTTTGTTTGAACTTGGTAACATACTTAGCGGTCAGCCGCCGTAGAGTCTATATTACCTGAGGATGCCTCGTGTAGAGGCGAAACACGTGTCGTATTACCGTCGATGGTGTGTCTTGCCTGGAATAGTGGTGTTGAGAGTAGTGGTGCTTGGTCTAGTGGTGACGGAGTTAGTGTATGCAATTGAGGGAGGGCGGGAGGTGCGCTTCAATCCAGGTAAGACACATCATTTTATATGTTTAGCGGAAAGTTGCAAAGAAATTTATATTTTTACTTTTTATTATAATGGATTTCCGCAAAGTAACGCCTGATTCTATCAATTATTGGTAACATGTGTCCATGAATGCAATAGCCACTTACTGTCAAGTGGGCTGTGTGATTATTTACCACTTCTGTTTAAAAAAAAACAAAGAAGCTATGACCTTACTATTTTATTTTATTTATTTAGGAAACCAACAGCTTTTAACTAAATAAATTTACAACAGATCGGATAATCTTGACATAAGCCTTATTTCAGGTTTCCCTATATTATCTATAAATAATTCAAATAATGAGCGAAGATTCCTTATCGGTATAAAAATAATAAGCAATGAATGATCAGCAGTACTACAATACACATTGTACATACAAAAATATAACGTGTGCGTGCAAGCACGCGTGCGCGCGTGCGCGCGTGCGTGCGTGCGTGTGTGTGTGTGTGTGTGTGTGTGTGTGTGTGTGTGTGTGTGTGTGTGTGTGTGTGTGTGTGTGTGTGTGTGTGTGTGTGTTTATATATTTGATCTGAGTTTATACCTTAGTCATAAATAATTATTGAAGAGTTTTTGCATGCTTCTGTTTTATAGTTTTCTCTCTCTTTCGTAAAATATCAATATTGTCAAAAATATTATTATAGGTGTAACATATCCGATTTATTGGTGAGTTTTTGGTATATTTTGTACGAAAGTTAAAATTGTCGATAGTCTCATTTGTTACCTGGATTGCAGCGGATAAGGTTCTCCCACTGTCCATTGACGCATTTCGCGTTTGGAGCTATACCAGTGTAATGATAGTTCTCCTGGCACTCTGGAACAGCGATGGTGCCATCCGCTTCGTACTCTTTACAGGGCCAGGAACTCCTCGTGTTGTGTTCGACGATCATGCACGTGTAACTCACGCTCGGGTTAGGAGCTAACTTGCATTGTCCTGGATAACAGAATACTCTGTGTAAACGATATGGCTACATTATAATGCGTGCGGGATTCACGTTATTTTCTCTATGTGCTTCTGTAAGTACAGTAAGTATCCAGCTCCCGTTTAATGTTTTAGAAGATTTTATAAGATTAAATAAAAGAAATAGCATGAAAATAAGGAATAAATATTACTATAAAATGCTGTTATGGCGACATAAGCGACAATAATTCATTAAAAATAATATTAATACGCAATGTAACGTAATTTGTATCTCCTAACATCGCGCGTCTCCTAACCTCAACGTGATTTTTAGGTTCTTGGATCTTAATTACCGGAGAGAATGTCGAATACGCGCGAATGTCTTCTATTCATTAAAATTAGGAGACTAAGTTAATTTTTTGGTGGAAATTATAGAACGTCCTTTAAAATAAATTACGTCTGGCAACCCTAACTGTAAATGAAACCCGCGCTTGTATGCGTGTCTTGCGAGACGCCTATATTACCACTCTGATATAAGGCTATTTATAATGTCTTCAACTTACGGATGCAGTTTGGCATATCACCGAACCAAACGCCATCAACACAATACACGTTGCTGGTTGCGTTTAACACGTATCCAGGTTCACAACGGACGTCCAGGATCGGACTGGAGTACGCTTCTCCGGGGAAAGCACCACGTGCTCCGAGCACCCTGTATGTACCGTGTTTTGGATATTTTGGGAGAATGCAAGCAGAACCGCCGGAGTTATCTGTAGGCCTGTAACAAAATTTAGAAATCTTAAAGTAAAAAAACTAAAATGTCACAAACACGTCAATTCACACGTATAAATGTCAACACGAGATGTGTTTTGCCGTTAAAATCGCTTCCAAATTTCGCATGCAAATTATTTAGAAAACGCCAAACGGCACGCTATTTACAAATAAATATGTATTAAAATATGTCTGTCAACACAACGAATCGGGTTTGTAGTAGTGATAATACGACGTTATTGCTTGTATGTGTGCTCCCGGCGACGCCTATCGTCGTTCAAAATAAGATTGACAGCTATTCTATTGTATATTACAAAGAGTATAGTAATATATACGGAAAGTGTATTATAGTATTCTATGGCCGTAACGAAACGCCGGCAGTGGGACATCAAAGTTGATGGTAGAACTTATAATCAAAGAAAACCAAATAGAAATTGGAGTGTAATACAAAAAAAACGAAAACCTTTTAAGTACTTAAATATGTCCCTTCAAAAACAATAATATTAAAAATAAATATAAAGTGTGCAAACTAGTGCTGAACGCGTCCAATAAAAAGTGTAACACGAATGGGTCGGCTCGACCGGGGATGGATCACGCTCTCACAGAATACCAGCGTAAAATAGCAGCTTAACGTTGCTGTGTTTCGTATGGTGGACTTACCATCAGGTGGACTGTGGGCTCGTTTGTAGAATTGATGGTAGAATTTACTTTAGAAGTGCACGTACCCAACAAAAATAAAAAATGTTATGGCAAGCAAATGATTAGAAAGAGTACACACTGTAGCGGTGTTGTATAGAACGAAGAAAAACACAAACGCCACAAAAGAATAGAACAAACGTTTTATCGTCCACAATTGACAACAGTTAAAGGAAAACGTTACAAAAATAGGTTCTATTATAATTAACTTTCTAGGCATAAAATAATTATGAGAAATTATGGTTGCTTGCAAGTTCCGCCGTTTTGTATTATATTACTGTTAGCGACGACAAGTGAATTTAATTATTTAACTTCAATTTATTCTTATTTGTGATATAAAACTAAGTGTAAGACTGATAGTGTTAATAACATTAAGTGAATTAATTACTTGTACTAGCTTCAATTCTTATTTGCGATCTAAAATTACGTAACGAAAGTTAGTAACGAAAGTCAGTAACAAAAGTATGTAACGAAAATGTGAATCTAATTGCTTATTTAGGTTTAATTAGAATGTTAGAAACGAGATATAAGTCTAGTTACTTATTAGAACTTTCTCTTATTATAATTTAAAGAAAAATATTAACATTTAAGGGTAAATTTAATGATTTGTTTAATTCTTTTTCTTTTAAAGTAATTCAAAACGACAATATGTCAATATTTCACTTTTGTAATCTAATTTCTTATTATAAAATAGATTTTAATTTAATAAGAAGTTAAAATGTATTCTGTATAGATTCTTAAACATAATATTGTCATGATAAGCATTGTGCATTTCTGCCGCCTGGCGGCGCTACTTGTATGTTTTTTTTTGCGCCCGAAGCAATTAAAGGGCTACCCTATAGGGTACGTATACGTAGGGAGGCGGAAAATGCATTACGCATACCACGATAGCCGGTCTATCGTGGTTATGAGGGGCTCACTGTCCTACCGGGGACCCTAAGTGATACCCTCTAAAAACCGCCTTTGGAGACAGGCAGCCGGCTGATTAAGCTGTATTGTGCCTTATCATGAGCGACCCTCTTTTGGGAAAAGAGGGCGCAGGCGGCTAAGAGGCTGAAGGAGTGCCTACGAAGGCAAATTAATGTTAGTTAATGCAATAATTTAATTTAATTAGAGTTGGCCTGAGCCGCCAGGAGACAGTTCAGGTCGTTTGACAGTTTATTAGGCGGGTCCGAGAGAGAGTTTCTCGGCCTGCGGACACGATAGCGAGAGGGGGGTGGGGTTGCATAAGAAGCTGCCTCACGAATTAATTGGTTTGGGTGTGACTCTGAGGCTTTGAAGAAGTTCTCAGAGAGTTTTTTAAGAAATTGTTGAATTGTTGGGAGCTCTAAGTCCCGATGAAGGTCGGCATTACGGAAGTACCAAGGTGCGTTCGCAGCTCGACGACAGAAGAGGTTCTGAACTATTTGGAGTTCATTTATAATATTAGGGTTTGCGTGGGCAAAGACGGGGCTCGCGTAGGACATGACTGGTCGTATACAGACCTTGTAAAGGGTACGCTTGTTTCGAAGGGACATTTTACTGTGTCGGCCCAACATACTGTTGAGCCTACTCAGATAAAACCGTGCGTGACGGGTTACTCTTTTGACGTGGGGCCTGAAAGTGGGCCCTGTGTCTAGAGTGACACCTAAATATTTGGCGGACGTATGCCAGGGGACAGGGGTCCCTAGCATACGTATTGGTGGAGTGTTTTTGGGACGGCGTCGTTTATAATCGAAGTGAACGGCGGAGCTCTTCTCCGGGTTCGCATCGATGCGCCATTTTTTGAACCAAGCTCCTAGGTCATCAACTGACTTTTGGATCTTGTTTCGTATGAAGGGTAGTGAGACACCTTTGCAGTAGATGGCAGTGTCGTCTGCGAAGAGGGAGAGTTGAACACCTTTCGACGGGATGGGAATGTCGTTGGTGAACAGGATGTACAGCAGAGGAGCAAGTACTGAGCCCTGAGGGACACCAGCCTTGATAGTTCGCTGTGAAGATAGCGTACCTTCGTGTCTAAAACGAATGGTACGATGTTTTAAATAGGAAGCCACGAGACGAACTAGACGATCGGGGAGACCTATTTTGTAGAGCTTGTAGATGAGGCCTGTGTGCCAGACTCTATCGAAAGCTTTAGATATATCGAAAAAGACCGCGATGGTCTTATGACGACGAGGGTAGAAACCTCTGAGGATATATTCCACAATGCGGTGAACTTGTTGGGGACATGAGTGTTTGGCTCGGAAACCGAATTGATGGGGAATGATAAGAGGGTCGCCGTCTGTGGGAAACAGATAGCGCCTCATACGCGTTTGGATGACTCTTTCGAAGAGCTTGCCCATTGCCTTGAGGAGGCTAATCGGGCGATGGCTGCAGGGGGAGGTTGAGAGGCTTGCCTGGCTTGGGAATTCCAATCACAGTAGCCTCTTTCCGTTACCGTAACGTAGTGGGGAAATAACTGAGGTTGAAGCAGGCGTTGAAGATAATAGATAAAAAGGTTAACACCTGCTCAGGAAAGTGTTTTAGGGCTTGGTTGGAGATGCCATCCGCGCCCGGAGCCTTTTTGGGCTTAAGTCCTTTGATGAGGGATGAAATCTCATCATTGGACACAGAGATAGGTTCGGAGGCCGTAGGGGGTGAGTTCCGGCGGCGGACCTCATCCTCCACTGCCTGGACGTGAGAGAGGTCGACGGGTTGAGAACTAGGAGAGTATTGAGCGGCAATGCTATCTGCAAAGCACTCAGTCTTTTCCTCGTCCTCGAAGGCAACCGTGCTGTCGGGACGGGAGAGAGGGGGAGTGTGGGTGATAGCGTCTATGCGGAGGGCTCTAGCCATCTGATAGTACGCTGTGTGAGATGGAGAGATATTCTCCATGAGCTTACTCTTTTCGAGGTCTCGAAATTCAGAGAGGCGGAAGCGGAGTTCTCGTTGAAGACGATTGGCCGCGCGCCTATATTCGGGGGTGGGATATTTTGCTACTCTCCGGAAAGCAGCTTTTTTAGCTTTTAATAGGTTGCTAATATGTAGGGGAAGCCCACTATTGTTAGCAACCGGGACGACCCTTTCGTTCTCCTTAAGGGAGGATTTAATAAGGGTGGAGAGTGAATCGACCGCGGTGTCGATTTTTTCGGGACTATCTAAGTCCGACGGTAGGGAGATGGTAGAGTCCTGTGAGTCCAAAGCTTTAGCTATGGACTCCTTGAATCCCTTCCAGTTAGTGAAGGTTTTCGTGTGTGTTGGGGGAGGTGGCTGATGGCCAAGAATGAGGGCGACCGGTCGGTGATCGGATCCTAGATCGTCTAGTGTCTCGATTGCTCTGAGGTTGAGAGAAACTCCTTGGAGTAGCGCAAAATCTAACACATCGGGGGGCGTGATCGGTGTTATCGGGAAAGTGAGTAACACCGAGAGGACTATGGACGGTAATATCAAGAGACTGCGTGATATCGAGCAGTATCTTGCCACTAGGGGACGTAGTGCGGCATGTCCATTCAGTATGCTTGGAGTTAAAATCTCCAAACATAATGACTGAATTGCCTAAAGATAAAATGGCCTCAAAATCCTTTTTGAGGGGATAGGTTCCTGAAGGGATGTAACAGGAGGCTATGAGGATGGACTGATGTCCAGTCATAGCTAGCCTGCATACCGTGGCTTCCATGTTGGTAAGCTGCGGAGTAGAAATGGGCGAGCAATGAAGTGTCTTCTTGTAATAGATGGCCGTTCCGCCGCCTCGGCGGTCGGGTCTGTCGTTACGATGAAGAGAGAAGTTTTTAATAGAAAGGCCTCTAGTGTCCTTAGCTTTGAGATTAGTTTCCTGTAGGAGGAGGAAATCGACTTCACGATTCCGAAGAAAGAGCTTAAGCTCTGGGAGGTTATTTCGCAAGCCGCGAATATTAAATGATACAAGCGATAAACCCTTAGGTCTGATACGACCGTGAGATTTAGGTAGAGTGATTTGCTCAGTCATTGAAGTTAAGTTAATTAAGTTAACTTAACTTACAACGCTAATAGAAGATTGTTGTGTTCTGCAAGAACGAGGAGACGTTCTTGGGGGACTTCGCCGCGCGCAGTTTGCGTGCTACTACGGTGATTTCCCTAACATCGATATTCCTAATAGCGGAATATAGTGTGTTGTAGTCGTCAGGTGTGGGCTCTGCTTCATGTGCGTACGAGGTTTTCCGCGGTGGGTCTGCCTTTTTGGGCCCCCAGGGAAAGACTGGAGGCTGCATTGGCTTGGAGAAGCCCGGAGGGGGGCCGAATTATGCCCTGAGGGGGGCCTAGGGGGACCCTGAGAGGGTCGAGAGAAGCCCTGGATGGGCTGAGAAAGACCCTGACGGGGCCGTTGTTGGAGGGCCGGGAATGAGCGGTCATTCACCGGCGGTGGAGCTTGCCTACTGGGGCGAGGTTGAGATGCGCGTGGGCAACCCCTGTAGTTAGCCGGGTGTCCTGTCTGGTTGCACAGGACACAAGCGGGCGGGGATTCGGCGTCTTTGGGCCGGGGACACTCTTTCGTGTTATGAGGTTCGAGGCACTTAACGCACCTGGGTGGGGCGGAGCAGTTGGCCGCCGCGTGACCATAAAGTTGGCAGCGGTGGCACTGCGCCGGGAAACCGCGCCTATGTGGAGGCTCGACCTTCACTCTCGACAGGACACACACTGTGCGTACCTGCCGGAAGATGGCTTTTGCCTCCGGTACGTTGGTAAGGATGATGAGGGCAAGGTTGAACCTCTTGCCCGTCCTACTGTGCATTTTGTGTACTGCTTCTACGGGGAAACCTTGGGACTTAAGGTCCTCAAGGATTTCCTCGTTGGAGAACTCAAAGGGGACGCCTCGGATGACGGCCCTGACTTTGCGCTCTTCAGGAAGAGCGTAGGTGTGGTACGAGACTCGTTCGGCTGTGAATAGCCGGGTGATTTGACGGAAATCCTAGATCGAGCTTGGGATGATTTTGATCGCCTCCCCGAGGTTGACGGCATGATCGTACTTTATACCTGCGTTGTAGCAGGTTTTTGACAGATGGGTGAATTTAGCCTTGTCTCTTAGGAAGACAGGGGGCGGGACTTGCTTCTTAGCAAGGACTGGAGCACAACGAGAGGCTGGTTTGGACGGTGTGGGGATGTCTAGTGACTGACTTGTATGTTAAGCAGAAAAAGCTTAGCTACTACGGAGCTAAACTGTAGGAAGACCGCGCCACTATTTTTATTTTTTACAAACGTAAATTAAGAGTTTTATGAATGTTTAATGTTCGAAGTAATAAAGATAAGTTATCTCTACTGCCATGAATGTATAAAAATATTGTAAGGTATGTTTTACCACACATATTAAAGAAATTTGTAAATTTCCTTTAGAAAAGGTCGTTCTGCGCTCTGATTGGTCGACGGGAATCATTAGTGCCGTGTGAAAATTCATTAGTGCCGTGTGCAAATTTTATTAATTCTGATTGGTCACAGCTGCCTATAAAAAGAGGCGTTTTTTGTGGTAAAACATTCCAAATCCGGCAATGTAAGAATAAAGCATCAAAAAAATAAATAAGAAGAAACTCTGAAGAAGTGTTATTTATTGCTCATCTAACTGCTACTGCATGCTCTCCAGATAACATCCCGCCAGCATAACCCGCTCCATTACTAACATTCTCACACACGAACATCAACAATTACTTTTGTGCAACTACGCAGAATAATCATTGACCAGAGAGTATCTATGGAAGTTACAAACCCGCGAATTATTGTCTCCACCTACAACGCCCTCTAGAGCGTACTTTATATGACGTTATCAATATATCGACTCGGCACACGAATGGTATACAACTACTAAATAACTCGGCACACGAATAATACAACACTAATACACAAGTCTGATGCTTTTTTAATTCAACAACGTGTATTGGTGTAAAAAAAAGTCCTATAAAAATTATATTGTCGATGTTCTCTAGTCTGTGGTTCATAAATGGCCTGTTTACAAGTCATATTCATAACTACTTAACAAAACGATCTAATTTTTTTCATTATCTTCAGAATCATATAGACTTGGTTCATTTCTATAAATCACTTCTGTAATCCACTTAAAAAAATTATCTCCTGAATACGGCCTTTATTTTTATAAAAAGTTTAATTTCATTGAGTCGACCAAAGAATATCACTAACTCATATGTTAAAGAAATTATTTACTTTTAAATAAAAAATATAAACATTTTATTTCCTATTTTTGAATTTGGGTGAATTTGGAATATTCTTGGGGTTAATTATTTCTCCAAATTCACCCAGGGGCATATTTTTGAAGCATAAACTAACAGCTACTCTTCCCTTTCACTTGTTGATGCTTCGGAGGAGCATGCCACGCTACGTACGCTAATATACGAAGAATCTCAAAAATTGTTAAACTGTTTTTACATTTGCCATTTAAATCCACAAAGTATTCCTCAACATCATACGGAGCTCCTAGATACTTCCACGTCTTATAGTCTTCCAGGTTATATTTTACTCCGAAACGACCGCACTGGTAAAAGAGGCGGAGGTGTCGCTATCTATCTGCGTAGTAATTTACCTTATAAAATATTATACACATCTTCTGCCTTATATTGCAGTTCAATGGAATACATTTTTGTTGAAGTTAATGTCAAGAGTGTTAAAGTGTTTCTTGGAGTTATCTACTGTCCACCTCAAGTGGACCACTTCTCCAATTTGGAAGTAAATTTATTGCCTTACAGTTCTGCCTACACACATCACATTATCATGGGAGACTTTAACACTGACCTATCCGGGGTTTCTCTTCGGGCAAATTTCGCTATTTTGCCTCTAAATGCAACACATCACAACTTCCACTCTGCTGACACCTGGATTGACTTTATAGCCGTCTCCTCCGTTGATCACGTTATCAATTATAGACAATTCCCTGCTTCTGGATTTTCACGGCATGACCTGCTTTATCTGTCATATAAATTAAAGTCTCCCAAGCCTTCATCTTTGTCCATCTCTATTCGTAGTCTTGCTAGAATAGATATGGACAAGCTTTAATGCGATGCGGATGCTATTAACTGGTCATCTGTTTATACTGCTTCCACAGTTTATGAAATAGTCGACCTCTTTAACAGCAACATATTAGGACTGTATAATAAACATGCTCCTAAACGTGTTGTTCGACTGAAGAGTCCTCCTGTTCCATGGATCACGATTGGGGAAAGAATGGCTATGGCTAAACGCGATAGAACTTTCCGTGCTTTCAAGAAGAATCGCACTGATGTAAAGTGGCAAGCATATAAAGCTGCAAGAAATCGATGCAATCAGATGGTGAGAGCTGCTAAACGCCGATATATCCACGAACAACTACTTAATTCATCTTCGGCTGATATATGGAAGTTTCTGAATACGCTTGGGTATGGAAAATCGCAATTTGACTATAATAGCGTCACCTTTTCTCCTAACGATTTTAATCGTCATTTTCTGTCTTCTCAAATAGTTTCTGATAATTCTAGAGCTAACGCTATCTCTTTTATATCTTCCACGCCTCCTTATTCTCACGAAACTCTCACTTTTACTCCTGTAGATGAAGACGAGGTACGCAAAGCACTTTCCTCTATTAAATCGAAAGCCGTTAGATTTGTTGATGTGAGTAGGGTAATGGTTTTGCACGTGCTGGATTCTGTTTTACCCGTGATAACTCACATAATTAACTTTTCGCTGACGAATGGTGCTTTTCCAACTCTCTGGCGTAAAGCCTTTAATATTCCAGTTCCGAAATCTACTGAATGCAGCGCTTTATCTAATTTCCGACCAATTTCTATCCTGCCTTTTCTGTCCAAGGTTCTGGAAGGTGTTGCTCATAAACAGATTTCCTCTTTTGTTTTCTCAAAGAATATTCTTTCCCCTTATCAGTCTGGTTTCCGCCTGGGTGATTCTGCAACACTGCTCTTCTCAAAGTTACGGAAAATATTCGTGGTGGGATGGAAAAATCAAAACTGACCGTTCTCATCTTAATTGATTTTTCTAATGTCAAATTCTGTCGATCATGGTATCTTGTTAGCTCTTCTTTCTTATTTGAATATCTCGTCTTCAGCTCAGGAATGGTTCTCAACATATCTTCGAGGGCGCCAACAGGCTGTGCGTACTGGCCATATACTATTTGACTGGCGTGATGTGTCAATTGGCGTCCCTCAAGGTGGTATTATCTCTCCTCTTCTGTTTTCCATTTTTATAAATCTCATCACACTAAATCTTAAGAGCTCTTACCATTTGTATGCTGATGATCTGCAGCTATATGCGCAAGTGGAACCTTCAAATATTCTTAGTGCTAATCTCACTGTTAAATGATGATTTGAAATATATCTCAGAATGGTCTACTGTGTATGGCATAAACGTGAACCCGTCTAAATGCCAAACGATAATCTTAGGTAGCTCAAGATTATTATCTAAACTATATAGATATTCCCACCCTACCATCAATTATGTTTAATAATAATGTCATACCATTTTCTACTAATGTAAAGACCCTTGCTCTGTACATCGATGGTTACTTAACATGGAACAAACATATACAGGAGGTGAGTCGCAAAAGCCTCTTTTCTAATTCATGGTTTCCTACGTGACCAAACCACCGAAGCATTTCTTTCTTAATCCTCGTCACAACATCGTCTTGCGTACATCATTCTTTTATTATTACACAATTAAAAAAACTAATCATCAAAATTGATTCACATATGATGAAGATATCGTGTAGCACATACACGCACATACACAAAAAAACATACACTCGTACTGAGAACAACCATCTTTTTCGAAGTCGGTTAAAATCATAATCACTACTCACTTGGGAGATGTTACTGTAACATCTGTTGAAGTTCCACCGCAGAGTTCTACGGCCTCATCAGATCCATCAGCGCAGTCTACCTTCTGCAATGAAAATAGATAATTTTTCTTCAACATCACTTTTAATAGTGCCAGAATATCGTAGGTATTTGTGACTAATACGTTAATGTTATGTCGAGTTAACAGTAACGGTGTTTATGTCTACACTTTGGTGTTTCAGTAAAACTGTCAAAATATGAAGTTCACGGCTATTGCTCCCACCAGAATGCTGAATACATCTGAATATGGAAACCTAGAATCTTATGGAATATATTTTCTTACATAAACAATTTGCATTGTGTATTATGAGCCGGCCATATAGCTAAAAGAACCGATCGAAAATCGATGGGGATAAAGGTTTTCGAGTGGCAAACTCGTACTTAATTAATTACGTAATTAATGGAATTCGGCGTGGCTGTCTTCATCTTAGCGGTCAGCCACCCCATAGTCCATTTCATCTGAAGATACCTCATGTAGAGGCGAAACACGTATCATATAATCAAAGCTCCTGTGTCTCTCCTTGTGTAGTGGTGTTGGGAGTCGTAGTGACGATTAGTGCACGCAATTGAGGATTGAGGATTTCTCTCGGAAATTTTTATAGAATAAGAGTGACTAACGAGTAAATGGATGCGGTGAGCCATAAACATCTAAATTTAGAAATAAAAATAAATAAAATGCAGATGCGTCGTCACCCCTGAGGGCTACGATGGAATGCCTCGTTTCTAGTTAAAAGGGTCTCCGGTTCCCCACACTCACCATACCAAACACAGCAGCATTGAGCAACTATTTTAAGCTGGTATTCTATGAGAGCGTGTTCCTACCCCGGTCGAGCTGTCCCTTTCGTACTAAAACTATAATATAGCTGCAGTGTGGCTCTACCACATACGAAACTTCCTCCAAAACTCACTAAGTAACGAGGAACATGTGGCCGTGGAAGAAAAGGGGAGATCTCCCGCCGGGCAAGGTGTTGTGCCCGGGGAGCGGCCAACACTCCGTGTGATAGTTCGGAGATGTTCTATATCTATATATACTGTTTTAGATTCGGAATATTGGTAGCGTGATTTAGGCTTCGGTGTGTTTCGCTTGTGTTGCGACGACAGCGCCACCACATCACCCCCCTACTCAGACCGGAGGTCAATAGTGCAGCGTCGTTGCCGACGAATGTGCAAGTGCCAGGAGATTGCCTTACAGTCTGCGGTGAGTCGAGAAGAAGGCAAGTAATCTGCGAGAGTGCCGTGAAGCAGAGGCGAGCAGTAAGGCTCAGAGCCGTGCCGAACACTGTATAGCGCAGAGAGTAGCTTGAAGGAACAGGAAGCATTATTATTCCAGTGCTGCGATGAAACCTTGTGAAGCTAGATGGCTTGCAGGATATGAAGACTGCAGACGATATCTGCTCGGGAGCGAATGGGTGGGGTATTTTATGACGATGATGAAGCTGGGCAAGGTGTTGTGCCCGGGGAGCGGCCAACACTCCGTGTGATAGTTCGGAGATGTTCTATATCTATATATACTGTTTATGATTCGGAATATCGATAGTGTGATTTAGGCTTCGGTGTGTTTCGCTTGTAGCGCGACGACAGCGCCGCCACAAACATATATTCCTGTTCCTTACCCCATTGCAGTCAGCTCCCTTACTAACGCAGGCTCCATATGCACACTGGAATAGGTAGGGGTGGCACACCATCGCCCCACAGGATTCAACCGTTTCGTCAGAGCCATCAGCGCAGTCTGCTTCACCATCACATCGGCTTACAGCGGGGATCGAATCACCATTGCGACATTTGTACTGGCCACTGAAAAAGTTTATCTTGTGCATGAGTACTGCAGACAATGGACTGGACCTATAAGCAACTTCAGACAAAGAACTTCTACAGATGCGTTGTCACCACTAAGGACTAAGTTGGAATGCTTATCAGCTTGTATTATACTGGCTCTCATGGCTATTTCGTCGGTTTAATGGCTAGAGATATAATCTTGGATCAGACCATCAATCATGTACCTATTGAGTATTTCTTTCAAGAAATTCTGAGTAGCAGACTGGATACAGAATTAGCGGTGTTTCACCCCGTGTTCTACGACGACATAACCATCGACATCGATCCTGCGAAGTACTAGAAAGTGCTTCCGTGCTACACACACACTCGTGGACTATAATCTTGTCTTGCGCATTCGGCTGCCGTGACGGATATAATAATAATACCAAATAGCAGTACGAGCACTGCTATTTAGTGTTAGAAATAGGAAAGGATTCATACCACCTAGTTCTTTTATATAATCAAACAAGAGAACTTCACCCAATGAGAAGTGGTTGCTGAGGCCCATAGACACCTTCATCTTTCTTCAATTAAGATTCAAAATATAGATGTATTGTCATACCTGAGGACTAATACGGAATGCCTCGTTTCCAGTAAAAAGTCTTCGATTATTTACACTCACCATACGAAAATCAGCAGCATTAAGCCGAAATTTTACGCAGGTCTTCTTTGAGAGCGTAGTCCTTCCCTGATACTCGTAGAGACGACCCATTCGTGCTACAACCATAATATAGCTGCGTGCCTCTACTACGTGTAAACCTATATAGTTCTAGTGATTTATTAATAAATATCACAATTACATGTAGACATTACTTACTTGTCTTCAGATATTTCATCTCGACATTGCGGTATCAATTCATCGGATGAGTCAGCACACTCCACTTTGCCGTTGCAAGCGGCTGCACCGTTCACGCATGCGCCATACGTACAGCGGAATAAATGAGGTGGACAGCTGAAAGATACAGATATAAACCTTGTGGTCTTGAAGCTAAAGTTCATTGTTCAAATCTTTTTTTATAGGAGAGGGGCCAAACGAGCATACGGCTCACTTGATGGTAAGTGATTACCGCCGCCCATGAACAACTGCAACACCAGGGGAATTGTAGAAGCGTTGCCGACCTTAAGGTGGAGCTTAAGGAAGTCCTTAAGGAGTAGGCTCTTTTCTTGAAGGTCCTTAAGTCGTATCGATCCGGAAAAATCTCTGGTGGTAGTTAATTTCACAAGGAAATTGTGCGAGGAAGAAAACTTCTTTTAAATCGCACGGTGGTGAACCGCCAGTTAACCAGATGGTATGGATTACATCGCAAGTTTTGTCGCGATATGCAATGGTGAAATTGTGTGGCTGGAATTGGTCCGAACAATTCCTCAGAGCACTCCCTTATATAAAGGTAATAAACAATCACTCCTTTTTTGTAGTGGAGCGAGCAAAGAGGACGGAGCCCCCATGGCGCAAGAAAAACGATTCTTTGAAATCTATCTCCTATGTAACCCCGTAGGCCAATTTACATAATTTTTTCAAACACTCAAAATATTACGTTACCCGAAACTGTACCCCGCACACCTCGTACCGCACCCTACGCTAGCTTTACGCGGTTAGTGTTGTGCACAGAACACTAGGTTTTGTGCAAAACGTTGAACGCTGCACCCGCGACGATATAATAAGATGTCGAAACGTTGCGGAAGAAAGTTAATTAATAATATTATTGACGATGAAGAGGAATTGGGTGGTAAATCTAATTCTAAATTACCGATATTTGAAAAACAGGTAAGTTTCCAATCAATATTTACAAATTATACACAGTCTAAGTGAAATATTTATATAAGAATATAACAAATAAATTAATAAAAAATAAATTAATAAATAATAATCTGTTTCATTATTTTTGACATACCTTTGTCAAAAATAATGTAATAGATTACAGTAACAATGCAAAAATTCAATTAATTTACAAACTTTCATTTACCAAATTTGTTTAGTAAGAAAGTTTGTTTAGTATACTGCGGGAAGGAAGTAAGACAGCGGACTCCTTCTTGCTCCAAAACCCTTATCTAAGAGATAAAAAATCTAATAAGTTCCATTCTCTAGAATTTTATTCGAGCACGAAGTCATATACACGAGCTCGAGGTCATATACACGAGCTCGAGGTCATATACCCGAGCGCGAGGTCATATACACGAGTGCGAGGTCATATATCGAGCGCGAGGTCATATACACACCCCGTACACGAGGTTTAACAACCGCGATACGGGGCGTTTTTTGTTACGACCTGTTTTCCCTCATTACGATAGTGGTTCAAGCCGAGGTTCATACCTCCTTCAGAGGGGCTGTTGAATCACATCGAGCCCCCTCCTAGCTAGTGAAGCTTCACTCTAAAATAGGGGCTAGGGTGCCTGAATCGTTGCACTCAATAGCTCATGAGTCCTCGCTAACGAGTCTATTTCGATGAAGCTGTAAATGCCGCAGGGCCAACAGCACACATTTTCAGAAAAAAAAAGAATTTTATAATACTATAAATTACCGCATCTTCCTGCATAGTGTATGAGTCTCGTCGCTACTGTCACGGCAATCGACAACTCCATCACATATGCTGTCAATGCTGATACAGGATCCATCGCGACACTTCCATTGCTCTTTGCTAAAAAATAAAATAACTTAGTTTTGTAAAAATTGTCTATCCATTCATCCATTACAGTTTATAAGAGTCCACAGTTGAACATCGGCCTCCCCCATAGATCGCCCCATAGATAAGATTTTGTTACATTTGCCACGCTTACCAAGGGGATATGTAACCGCTGTTTTTTATTATAGTACGTAAGGGTAATATGGTCATCCGGATAATATGGTCACTTTTTTTCTTATAGTATAAGATGACAAACGAGCACACAGTCCACCTGATGGTAAGTGGTTGCTCTGGTCCATAGATATCTACATCTATCCTCGATTACGAATAAAAATGCAGATGCGTACATTAGATACGTATCTGCATTTTTATATGTAAAATTAGAAAACAAAAATATGTAATAATACTAAAAACATCCAGCATTGCGAGATTGGTACCCACGCGCTCCGTCGTAGTTGGCACACAGCTTATGAGCTTTCATAAGTTTAAATAAGGTTTGATCGCTAAATAAAGTCTGGTCGCTAATGATTATGATTGATAACAAATAAAAATACAAAGATAATTTAACACATTATACAACAAGTACACGTTAGATATTCTAACGAGGCTCGACGTGTGGGGTGGTCTGCGGACTGCCGATTTTTTATACTTACGCGAACACTACACATTAATTAACACTACTTTTGCGAATTTTATCTCGTTTAATTTTAATTTGTTTTTAAATCCCGACGTTTCGGTTAGGCTTTCCAGCACCCATGGCCACGGGGGACTAAGGTGACGTCCCTATGTCAATGTTAACCGATCTATGCAAACTAAGATGGAATGCCTCGTTTCCAGTAAAAATGGAAACAGCAGCTTTAAGCTACTATTTTACGCTGGTATTCTGTGAGAGCGTGGTCCTTCTCCGGTCGAGCCGACCCATTCTTGCTACAATTATACTACTAATATAACAGCAGTATGGCTCTACCACGTATAAACCCTATATAACCCTAAAACTACAGCCATGTTTACATACACGGCTTCGTGTTACGATAGCTCTTCATCGGTCAATCAAATAATTAAGGGTCAACAGGGCGCTGCTTTATCAACGCCATTTTGACAGTTGACATTATGGTTAATTTAGTCGATTTTTGTATGGTGTAGTTTTTTTTAAGTTAATTTTTCTAAGTATTTTTAATTATTGCCAAGGCTTGTTTGCTATTTCCTTTCTTAATATATAAGTTATAGTATACATTTATGTGTTTTTGTTTTTGTCTTCTTCCTTGTTTTGGTTTTATAGGGTGGCAGAACTTAAGGTGACCATATTATTCTCACGTAACTTAATTTTTTTTGTTATCAGGAAGCCGCGGCTGCTCATCTTCTGTTTTAATTTCCCTTTGTCGTCTTTTATGACACTGTACAATATGGGGGTAGTTGTTATTGTTACGAGCTTGAGGTTCGTGACAATAAAAATTGCCGATAAAATTACCTAAATTAACACTTTAATTTACTTTACACAAATTAAAGTTAAAAACACTAATAATTAAACACACTAATTCACTTTATTCCGCTCCGAAGCTTCGCTTGTTTCGCCAAATCAACACTACTTCGATCGCATCTTGCAGCGCCTATATATTTAAATTAGCAAAGAAATATCCAGAATGTTCAAGTAAACACGCGCAAGGTACCGAGCGTTCGAGTTTCGACTAGGCGCTGTCGGTTGAGTGATTTGTGATGTCATTTTCTCAATGCTCACCCTCGCTCTCGTTCCTGACACTAGATGGCGCTAGTGTATTGTCGATTTGAGCGCGTAACATTATTTTTACACCTCCAGTACACGGTGAGTATATAAAGAGAGTAGGAATTTTGCAATACCTGGTTATTTTTCTAATTTCTTGCGAATATGGGGGGGGGGGTGAAGATTGCATTTGGCTCTTGCAGAAGCGAGCGGCAACAACCTTTGCTACGTCCTTTACCATTCGTCAATGCTACCGCTTCAAACAGACACCCAAGTTTGAAAAGACTATATCGCCTAGGATTATAGGAATATTAAAAATAGAAAATTTACAGAAACTTACAGGCAAACATTTACAGAGATTTTCGCTTGTCTTTTCCATCTATTTAATTCCGTACGCGTGCCATGACTTGAATTCCTGTAATACAGAAAATAAATTATATAGTACGTAAGGGACATCCGGTTAATATGGTCACTTTCTTATAAATCAAAAACTAAAAAAAGGGTGAAAATGGCGCTGCTTCGTCGACGGCATTTTGACAGTTGATATTATAGTAAATATTTTGGTCAATTTTAGTATTGTTTAGTGTAATCAGTTTTTTAAGTTGATTATTCGAAGTATTCCTAATATTACCAAAGCCTATTTGTTTTTTTTTTTATATTTTAGTTATAGTATACGACTTTGTGTTTCGGCAAAGGTTAAGATGACCATATTACCCTTACGAACCTTATTTTATATTATTTACCTAATATAAGCTAATGGTTGATTAATTTTCCATCTTGATGATGAGCGATGACGAAGCCCTAGATGACTTTGACTGACTTAGCGAAACAAACGCCTATTCACTCTTGCCCTAAAGACATCCAGATTTGAATCAAACCTTTAGACATACACCGGCAACCTACTCAAATTCTTTTCTGTACGCATTACTAAAGACGAACCTTGGAAAAGAAATTTGGTTTGAGTGCGTGAAATATCGAAAACAAGGGCTTGGGCCTGTCGGCCGTCTGGCTGTCCAATGGTGAAGAGGGAAGGGAGGTATTAAGGCGTGTAATTCCTGTACACACTCTCCGAAATGCATCCTGCAGAACACCACGAGGCTGGCTAGCTACTCTACGCATATCCCACTTTAATTGTCACTCTAGACAGTAATGTATCCTCCGAAACATGGTAACTTAGTAACGCATGTCATAGACTTTGATAAAAGGGAAATACATTTTCAATAGTATAACATGAAAATTATCGAAATGCTACATTTTTTGCCGTCTGGAAGAAAATAGGGTGTAAAATATGAACGGAGTAGAAACCTATGGCGCTGATATTTTACAAAAAATAAAAACAAAAATTTTGAAATAAAGTTAGAAATTTTTTGAAAAATTACTTTTTCTTTTCCTTGACTGTGACCCTTGAAGTTGCTACTAATATATTGTTTTTTGTAAGGTAAGTGGATATGATTTGAATTTCGATAGATTTTAATGTACATATTTATTTTTTATTTAAAATTGTGTTTTTCTTTTTTTAAATTAGTAAGGTTTTGTTTAGTAAAGTAGGTTGAGTATTATTGTTTTTGTGATGTTAGCCTTCGCAAGTGGTAACGGTTACATACTATCAAAAGTCCACAGCCAAAGATGTCTCTCCCATAGACTGCCTATAGGGAAACATTTGCCAAAGTTGCCACGCTTAGCAAGCGAGTTAGCACACGCACTTTTTATTTTAGTAATTATTAGATTTCTTTCCCTCTATATATTCTTTCGACACTCATGAGACGGTATAGGAATTTCTTAATTGAGGGTAGACGTAGATGTCTATGGAATACATCATCCAATTACCATCAGGTGAACTGTGTGATCATTTTTTATAGAATACATTTAATAGGATAGGTGTGACCTACGAGCAAAGTACTGATGGTAAGTGGATGATTATCCGTAGACATCTACATTTATCCTCTATTAAGAATCAAAACGCATATACGTTGTCACCCCTAAGGACGAAGATATACTGCCTCGTTTTCAGTAAAAAAGGGTTTCTGGATCTCTACACTCACCATACGAAACACATCAGTATTAAGCTGCTATTTTACGCTGGTATTCTGTGAGAACGTGGTCCTTCCCCTGTTAAGCCGACCCATTCGTGCTACAACCATAATATAGCTGCAGCGTGACTCTACCAGCTTTGTCACTTTTATTCTTTAAACAAGGTTTTAAGCTACAAATAACAATTTCATAGGTGATGATAAGTGATCATCGAAATCATTTCACTCGTGCGGTATGAAATTTTAAGGTGGCTAACTATTTCTCGAGCTGCCACGGTTGCGTACCCCTGGCTCTAGCTTCTTACCTTATCACGGTATTAATTAAAGACTTACCTAGCGGAAAACTCATCTCTAGCCGCAGTCACTAGTATTAGGGATACTGAAACTGAAATCAAGACAGTATTTTAACATAATAATAATATAAGAGTTTAAAAAAAACTTAACACGCATTGACCATGAGCTGTAAAAAATAAACAGCCTATATACGTCCCATTACTGAGCACAGGCCTCCGCTCATTTCTGAACGGGTTTTAGGGCAAGGAAGTGTCCGCCGCGCTGCCCCAATGCGTGTTGGCGAACTTCACATGTCTTTGAAACAATTTTTTTCTTATATCTCAGAGATGCAGGTTTCCTCGCGATGTTTTCCTTCACCGCCGAGCGCGTGGTAAATCAGCACTTAATATTGCAATTAACAATGTTATTGGTGCCGGCGGGGATCGAACCCGGTTTGCTCGCTTACTGTGAAATTTACAGCGAGCGCTAACCATCTGAGGTATCTATCACATGAGCTGTGATGATCCTGATAATTATCAACAGGATACTAGGATGAAGTTATAAAATTATTGTGTTGTCATCGGTTCTGGATACGCGTACAAATTTTGAAGTCAACCGGCCGTCAACTAGTTGGTGGAAATTACATTGAAATATTCCGTTACATAGATATCTATTTATCTACCTAACTATATAATAAATTCCCCTCTATGAGGCAATCTATCAATTTCCTTCCAATATTTACATAAAAAGATGTTATTTCTACTAAGCTTTCATTTGATTCACGTATATACGTGTCACGTGTCACGTATCACGTATATAGCTTAGTAGAAATAACATCTTTTTATGTAAATAATTTGAAGGAAATTGATAGATTGCCTCATAGAGGGGAATTTTGCCATAGTTACCACACTTTGCAAACGGGTTGGCTACGGCAGTTTTTCCTTATAGAATAAGGCTTACAAACGAGCACACAATCCACCTGATGGTAAATGGATGCTGTGGCCCATAGACATTTACATTTATCCTCGATTAAGAAGCAAAACGCAGATGCGTTGTCACTCCTGAGGACTTAGATGGAAAGCCGCGTTTCCAGTAAAAAAAATGTCTCAGGACATACAAAGATGCACTCACCATACGGAACGCAGCAGTATTAAGCTGCTATTTTACGCTGGTATTCTGTGAGCGCATTCGTGCTACAACCACAATATAGTTGCGGCGTGGCTCTAGCACGTATAAAATTTTAATTTTAGTCGTTATTAAGATATCCCTACATATCTTCCGTAAGAAAGAGGGAGAAAGATTTTATGCGGTTGCTGTGCCCCAAATAATGACGCAAACAAACGGCCCCCTCCTGCTGCCCATATCCTGATTTGTTTCTCTCTGTCGCCTATTACGACACCCACGGGATAATATGGGGTAGTGATTAATCTTACACCGTCATTACACGCTTTAGAAAAGAACTATACTCGCATAGAATACCAGCGTATAATAGAAGAATAATGTTGTGCACGTAGAATACTATAATACACAATAGAATGGCTGTCAACTTTATTTTGTCGCCAAACCCGATTCGCTGTGTTTACAGAATGAATAAATTTACACATTTTTTTTATGGGATAGGGCGACAAACGAGCACACACCTGATGGTAAGTGGTTGCTGCGGCCCATAGACATCTACATCTATCCTATATTACAAATCAAAATGCAGATGCGTTGTCACCCGTGAGGACCAAGATGGAATGTCTCGTTTTCATTTTCTAAATAATTTGCATGCGAAATTTGGCAACGATTGTAACGTCTAAACACATCTCGTGTTGACATTTATACGAGTGAATTGACGTGTTAGTGACATTTTAGTGGCTACGCGGGCTCCACCCTCTCCCCCGTTCTATTAAGTAAGTATTATAGTATTCTATGATTGTGCATGTGCGCATGTGAGTGACCGTGATAGCATCTATAAAAAAAAACTTTTTTTGCTATCCCAAAGCATTCCGTTACTAAAACTGTATATTTTTAACTTTCCGCTAAGAAAATTAAAAAAGGGAAGTTATTGGTTTCACCCCGATTTTCGAAAATCGAGTTTTCATCAGATCTCGACGTTTTGAGATCCCAGGAAGCTATTCTGACTAATTTCACGTGAACGTCATGGGCGGCGCTGGTGTTTGTCTGCGCGATCAACGGCACAGACATTTTGCCCGAACGTGAATGTTTACTGCGTGCTGTCTGCACAAGAGTGACGGCGACCAATGCGGACGATCTTTTATTGTTATTTAACGAACTTTGGAGATTTTTAATTTGCATTTAGTTTTATTGATAATAAAATATTCCAAGAAGAGTTTATACGATGCGCAAGTAACTGTACAGGTATTCTGGATCGTCAATTTCTAATTCTTTATGTAAATTGATATGGCTAAACTTATTTATATTTTTATTTACAATGCTTAGATACCCGCAGTCAACTTCAAACAAAGCAGTCTAGAGATGTGTCGTCATCTCTGAGGAGTGAGGACTAAGATGAAATCTTTCAGTCTATAATTAAAGTGGCTCTTTATAACCTTTAGAATGGGAAACAGCGGTGTAAACTGGTAGAACCTGTACAGACAGACTCCTAGCACAGTAAAAATATGGAACAGTACGGAAATTACCTACAAACGCTCAAAACGGCACACTCACACGAACATGCACAACTACGACACTCCTAAGCGAACGTCGCGGTGCTCTCAGAAGCGAACACGCGCCGCGTCACGTTTACGTTTATCTCCGCGAACTTTTTTCGTACGAATGAACGTATTGCGTAGTATACGGCTGTTAGAACTATGATGTTTAAACATTCGTCTTTTGATGAGATTAATATTTAAATTCGATTGATTGATCACTACAGTACAAAAATGAAAAGGAAACGATATCAAAAACATTAAAAGTTACAACCCCATTGTTT